CCAGTGCCAAATGTCACAAATACACCATCTCCAGGAACAAGTTTTACAACCATGACACCTCAAGAAATTGCACAATGGATTGATACCAGAAGCAGATTCTGTTTTCCATTAGCATTTTTAGTTTTCAATGCTCTTTATTGGAGTTTTATTTGGATATGAATAGAACTTCCAATTCATATAATATTGAAGAGTAATTACCATTGTGTCTCTTTTAATTAAGAGAAATTCTGCATTTTCAATAGTAAATAAATAAGTTTATTACTTATCTTTTAGCTTCTGCAAGAGGAAACTAAGTCACTTCGAATATATACAATTATCTACCAGCTGTGTATCTTAAAGTTAGAGTGCCTTATAAGGCACTTGCATAAGATGCATAAATATAATTTCTCAAACAAATCTTGGGTGCCTAATAACTGGCTACGACTAGATTGTTCATTAAACTTGTTATTTGAAAAGTATTGTGAAGAACCAGAAAAAAATCAACTGGGAAATGCAGAAATACACTAGTACTGTTTCTGTCAATTGTTATTGAGTAGGAAACAGTTGATGAGGGAAGTCCAGTGAAAATGGGGTTCAAATATGCTTCAGAAAACTGAAGCAAAGGATAGTACGGCAAACATCTGTCCTACCAAATTTAGTCATTTTCTAGAATTTACTTTTTTTCCAAAGCTTTGATCAAAGAATTCTCAAGAAATATATGTATATTATTCTCACATGCAAGTTTGTATGTGTGGTTTATGTTGAAATACTATTTTTAATTTATTTATTTTCTGAAAGTTGTTGATTATTATCTCAAACATTTTGTAAGAAATCTTGTTACTCTATTTTTACTAACTCTGCTTCATTTGTGTCATACTATAGCTTGTACATATGTATGTATATCTAACATTAAAGATTTTTCTAAGAACATAAATAATGTAGTTCAGTTTCATTCAATGTAGAAATTTACAATGAAACAATATTTGTTCTTTTCACTACCCTCATATACAAGAATGATTGGTGATCACACATGCTTTTTTTTATTATTATTAGGAAGAATGGAGGATAGAGGAGTGGATTTAAGGGGGGGATGAGGGGCATTTCCCCCCTCCCCCAAAAAAGTTTGTAGTAACAATTAATTTTAACTTGCATAAAACTTTGAAGCAAAAATATTTTTGGATAATCATTAAAACTAGTAAAATTGTATCTCAGCAAGAGCTGAGTTTAGTCTGTGTGTCATTCTACAAAATCTGTAATAAGACACATTCGAACAAAACATTTTGAATAAAAAACCATCTTAATTTATCAATCACGCGCGACTCGCCGACGCGCATTTTTGTAGAGTTTACGTATAACTAGGGGACAGATTTTAATGACCTAAAGCATCGCCAAGAAATGATTAATAAAAAACTCTTAAAATGTTTATAAAAGGACTAAAAGCAAAGAAAAATGACGTAAATTTTATCAAAACAAATTCAAATGCGTAACTCAAGCACTTGGATACACTACTGATGTAATCGCAGTGGCCGATCGAATGGCGGAGCGTGCATCCCTCCACAACAAAATGCCGTTTTTATTTAAATTTAATATGTTCGTATCCGTATCATAGAATGTAAAATTTAATACCCTAATCCTTCCTCGTTTCGCAGCTTTGAATTCAACAATTTTTTTACCAAATTATTACTATTACTTTCTCGCTACCGCGAGAAACGAAGTAGAGAGAAAGTTACGTAATGCTGCGCGAAAAAGCGGTCAATTCGCATGAGAAAAACCCTTATTGCCGGGCCCTGATATTAAAAAGTACGGAAATCCAGAATCCATGTTTTGTGGGTCCTGGACACCGAAAAATCGATTGACGGAAAAACGTCCGTCTCACTGCCCGGTGTTTGCGAACACCATTAGCACCTAAGCCATGCGTAGATTTTTTCTAAATAGAGGAAACCCATGCCGATTTGACCCGAGTCGCTCAGCGATTTTGAAACACATTCAATAATTTTTGGGGTCATTTTTACCCAAGCTCCATTTTCAAAATTTTCTCAAAAACGCTCAACATTTTTTTCTTTAAATTTCTTGTAAGAATAGAGTATAATACACTTAAAAAGGTGGAATAGGTCCGATTTTCCTTGTTTACTGTAATTTTCGATAATTACAAAAGTTTTACGTTTTTCGACAACTTCCTACAACAACAAAATTGAAGAGAGATTTTCTTCAAATGAAATTTGCTGCCCACAATTCGTTTTTTCATTAAGGTCATGAACATTTTTTTTTTGAAACTTTTAGTAGTTTTCAGGCAATGTTGCGCGCAATTTGTGCAAATTTAAAAAATTACAAAAAACATTTTCTCAAAAAACGCTCCAAATTTTTCTTTAAATTGTTCGTAGGGATTGTGTTAAATGCACTCTATAAGATGACATAAACGCCATATTGCTTTATTCTTTTGTTATATTTTTCAAAAATTACAAAAATGTATTTTTTTCGACTTGTTTCTCACGTTGTTAATATTTACATTAGCACCAATTTGTTTACATTATTATATTTATGGGAACATGTGCTCTAAATAAATGTCATATAAAGCTTCTCGAAAATTTAACCGTTTTCTGTCAAAACTAGCTCAAAATTTCGCAATTTCAGAAACGCTCAAAAGCCATTTTATCAAAAACGGCTCCAATTTTTTCTTTAAACGTTTCGAACGGATAGTGCTAATTGCAATCTAATATAACGTAAAGTTTATTTCTGGATATTTTTTGTTTTTAAAAAATACACATGTATTTGTTTTTAATATATCTCACGCCGTTAATATGCACATTTCCAGCAATTTGAAAACACTATTGTGTTTGTGAGTTAATGTGCTGCAAATGACTTATAACGAAGCTTGTTGAAAACTCAAAACTTTTCTGTGAAAAAGTGCTTAAACACCATTTTCTTAAAAGCGGCTCCAAATTTTTCAAAGAAAACAACCATTTAGGACGCGATTTTACTGTTCTTCAATATTCATAAAATAATTTTTCGTTCTATTATTAGTAAAACGAAAAATTACGAAAATTTCAAAAAAAACTATTTTGGGCAGCGATAGATGGCAGCAGGCAAGAAAAAGTGGCCAGTTCAAATAGCTAGCTGAGAGCGAAGGAAATAGAAAACTAGTATGGGAAAGTCAGTGACATTCTGCAGCACCACTAGTTTAATCTTTCAGTATGTATAGTGATAAGTGCTCTGACCAGTTGCGGCTCATGCCTTCAAAAGTTGGTGGTTTACCGAGTAATGGCATTAAGAGTGGGGGAACTCTGATGCAATGAATTCACATGTACAATTCAGAAATACACTGTAGCCCCTCTAGACCCCCTGTGTGCACGCTTATGAATACATATTAGAACGTATGTAGATAATGGGAATTTAGAATAAAAGGCCCTGATTCAATCTCCTTTCTGTAAGTATATTAATAATAAATCATACTTGTTTCTGGTTTACATGTATTCTAGATTACTAATGATAATTAGTATCACATTACATTATTACACATTCACACAATCACATTACACCAGAAATTGCATTTCTGGTGTAATCTAAACTAGAGGTTCTCCAACAGCACATGTATCTTCCCATTATTGGAAATAGGTAATATGGAAATATTATAATTTCTGTCATACCAAAAACTCAGTTACCTTTAATTAGAACCAATTCAAATGAAATGAAGAGTTTTTTTTCAATTTTCAAAAATACAGAGAGTGAACCGACAATGAGACCAGCATCAATCTCTTTGCCGTTCTTTTCTATGTATGTGGATTTTTTTTAAAAAACTGCAATTATTTTTGAGTTAGTTTTTTTTTTTTTTTTTTTTTTTTTTTTTGAGAAATATTTAAAACAATTTTGCCAAATAAAAGACAGTAACTAATGAAAGCTCTAGGTCTTTTGGGGGGCCATGACTCCCATGCCTCTCCTAATCCACAACTGGTGTCGAGGACCTACACAACATATTGGAGGAAGTAATGGACAATATATAGAAACAAGTTTTATCCACCTTTTTGTAACCAGGGACTGGAAGTAAGAGTTTTTGTATAGAAAATTCCCTGTTTTTTCCTGCAACACTACAAAACCTTTTCTATACTTTGCAAGCAGTAGCGAGAAAGTCAAAATAAGTATCATAGAGTAATATTGGCTTTGACTAAGGAGTAAGCTACACCAATTTGCTGAAAAATTTTTTTCTAATAGTTCTTCCAGGTCATATATAGCGATCTTCCATTATTAAAGCCTGAGAATATTGTAGATACATTAAATATTTATTTTGAGTATAATTTAAATAAATAAAAAAATCAGTAAAATGTTGTAAAATAATCTCAAAGTATTTTACGGATTCTTAGTTAACACATCTTAATATACACCTTTCTGCTTAGGTAGAAATTAATGTCAATCTAAATTATCTTGACATTTTTGAAAAATGATAATTGATCCTTCACTAATGAAGTGTTGATAAGGTACTGAAACGATAATAGTAATATTTTCTTTAATGTTTTTAAAACTATCGTCTGCCTAGTTAGTATATACACACTAAGCACACACTATAAATCAAATTCAGCAAAATTTTTATATTAAAAAAATGGATGACTGCAGGTGCTGAACGGATGACTATGTGAACAATAACTACTATAAATAATCAAAATGTATCTGCAGGGAATTGAAAAATGGGATAAAGAACTGGAATGATGCTTCTTAATTTACGTATTTTACGACGACTTTCAAAAAACCTTCTCAAGCAACATATTGGAAACAATTTAATACCAACCCTTTTTCGCTAATACGGCAAAATTGATGAAACAAACGAAAGTGCTGAAATTAGCTGTAGAATATCTACGTATTATTGTACAGAATTTGTATTTAATAGAGTCATGAAAAGTTGTGTCATACATAATTACAAAAGTTACAAGAAAAGTTCATGTAGAACTTCACGTAGAAAGACACACATTCGTAGATACAATTTTACTTTCAAATCTACATTTATCAATCGCGAAGAAGAAAACGATACATACCACTGAGAACTTCCAAAATTGTTGCCGATTTCGTACAAGCTTGCGCGTCAAACCAAATCTCCTGCAAATGCTCATGAATTCGAGATTGTATCGAAAGATATGTGGATGTCGAAAATGGTCGTAACTTTGCGATATATCGTAATAAGAAAGTCGATTTAGTCTGAAACTACAAAAACACTTTCCTACGAATTGTAACCAATATTTGGATGTGATATTGATTTATCTTTTCGGAAGAATTTTGAAAATCATTCTCAGGTATTAAGAAGTACGGTAATTGTTTTATTAAGCGTAATGGTATTGCTGCAAGTGTCAGTGATGTCATTTAGATATTAAGATATTCTAAATAGAAAAAAAATTAGGAGCGTATCTCCTAGGAAACCTGTATACTTGAATGTGTTTCATTCCGTGTTTGAATTGATCTCTTCAGATTTCGCCGTTTCTCTCTTTCAATATCAGGTACTATATTATTATTGAAGCCATGGATCTCCTGGGCTCTATTCTGAGTTCTATGGACAAACCACCAAGTGTGAGTGATAAACAAAGAATGATGATGAAAAGTGAGTACAGTTACAGTGGAATAAATTCAGCTAATATAAATGAGATCATTCAAATTAGTGTTTAATAAATGTTTTTCACAGAACAAAAAGAGGCATTTTTGCAGAAACAAAAAGAAGAAAAAGAGAAATTGCAGGCTTTTAGAGAAAAGGTATATTTTTTTCTTTGTTCTGAAAGTGATATTTTGGAATTGCTCAAGAAATAGATACTTCAGAGTGTGTTTTACATAATCTAAATCATGTAACTGGATACTGTTCTGTATTATCTTGATTTGTGAATCCAGATGATCAATGTATATATTTTGCAGGTTGAAGAGAAAGTTAATGCTATTTTACGAGATGAAAAGAAACAGAAGTGCACATTTGAACCAATGGACCATGTTTATAGGAGTGTCATGTAAGAAAGTTGTTAATTTTGCACACTTAAGAATACATGTTTTCGGTTGATCTTTACTTCAATGGAGTCTTTCTGCTTGGTGCCACTGTGCTGCAGCACAAGGTGTTTTCTTGATTGTAAGTGTTGTTTTTTAGCAATAAAGTATACACAACCTAAAAATGCATTGGCCAAAATCAAGGATTTTGTTTATTAAATCTTGGAGGCAGAAGGCCAGAGCCTCATTGCCAACTAGGGAATTCATAACGTAGTCTTAAGTGAGCACTAAAAGTATTTTGTTGAAATATGCACAGGCATTCTGAATTTTCCAGAATCATGATTGCTTTGGATTACCTTTACATTCTACTTTAATGGAAAAAAATAACTTGAGTTAAAAAATCATTTCACAATGCAGTGCCAACAAGCATTATGGCCCTACTGAAGCAAAGAATCACCAAATTTTGAACTTTATACTCTAATACGTTCTTCTTTTTGTAGACGTGATGTTGCAGAAGTTGCAGGTCTTGTAGCATACTCCTTTGGTGAAGAAGGAGTTGACCGGCACATAGTAATATATAAAAAAGAATTCACTCCTTCTGAGGATGAATTAGCTGCTTTACGTCGAGGAGAAGAATGGACTCCTGAGAAAGCTAAAGAACTTGCAGAGAAGGTACATAAACATTTCAGAATGCAAATTTGTGCAAGTTGGCCTTCCCTAAGGATTAAAAAAAAAAAAAAAATGAATTTGACATGTTTTAGCGAGAACGTGAGAAAAAAATTGCAGAAGAAGAAGCCAAAAGAAAGCCAGAAAAATTTGTTCCTGCTAGTAACTACAAGGAAAAATACGAACGTCTTATAGGAAAAGATGCTGCTTTAGCTGCTGCTCGTAAAACTGAATCAAACAAACAGTATGGCTTTGGTAAGAATTTGTTATAAATTGTTCACAGGTACTAATGATGGGAAGCAAAAGTGATCAGGGCTGCCTAACTGCTGGGGCGGATCCAACCAATCGTTCTTGAAGGAGGCCATCATAGATGTTTGTTAAATAATAAACATTTGTTATTATATTGTTTATTATTTTTGTAGTGTGTATATACATAATAAATAAATGTTTAAATCAATTTTGCCTTATAAAAGAAAGGAACATACGAAAAACCTACGCCTTTTGGAGGGGACTGTGGTCCCCCTCTGGAGCTGCCACTGCCTAGTTGCACTTTGTGAAATAAATTTAGTTTAGCTCATATTCCCTATTGTAAAATATGTTACTCATAGATAAAATAAAAATGTTTTAAGTTACAATATTTGCAAATATTTTTATTTTATCTTATATAACAATTGTTATCTTTAATTTCGCTTTTATTTCTTGATAATATGAAAAAGTTAAGAACTGAATCTACTGCATTTACAGTGAATAAGCTCCTAGTACTAAAAATGCTCTTTTATTAATTGAGTGTATTGAAATAATTTATTTTTTAGTTCCTAGTGAAAATAAAAGAGACCATCGATCCATCGAGCAGACATTAGCTGACATTCAAGCTAAGAAGAAACAGAAGACTCAGCTGAATAGTGATGCTGCAGAGTGAATGTTGTAAATAGAGAAAAAATTAGTGGACACTTGACAGATAACAGTGATACCTTTGATCTTATTGTACTGCCTCCTATGAAGCTGGGAGTGTTCATATTTATTTGTAGAGACTTATATTTTTGTATATGAACTTAATGTATGTATACCTCCATAACCACTGCCTGTTAGTGTATTATATAATTGACATGCATGCAAATTGCAGTCAGTTTTGAAATATGTTGTTCATACCTCATTTTTGCAGCTGTGTCAATTGTAATTTACTTTTGTCATGTACAATTTGCTCATTTATCTTTTGGGAACACCTATTCCAATTGTAGCACAGTTCCCATGATTCTTAACGAAGAATTATTAGTTACTTGAGACTGAAGGTGAAAATTATTTATAACTTTATATTCCTAGGGAATAAAATATTGAACCTATTTTACGAAAGTGGGCAATGGTGAGATTCCAAGTTGGAGCCAATTAGGAGAATTCTTCCCGTAGATAAGTGTCTACCGTTAAGGACAGTTTGTTCTCTTCAAGTCAAATTTGGATGTTCTTTAAAATAGTTATTTTCCTCAATGTAAATCATCATGAAATTCAACTTTATAACTATTCAAACAACTATTCTTTGTTTCAAGAATTAGTGTATGGCAACATTTCTCAAAGTTGTTTTCTTGTGTAAAGCTAGCTTCCCTTGTAAGACTTGTATACTATGTTTTACACTTATGCTTTGCGTTTTGTCACATTGATGAAATAGTTTTGTTTTCCAAATGGTAATGTATTTTGTAAGTCCAAAAAAATTAAGTCTTTCTGTTCCTTTTAGAAAAAATCAATGATAAAAACAGTATCATGTACTTCTTGAAAATTGCCTACCTACTCTTTTCACTCAAGTTACATTTCAGCAGATTTCAGTTGTTTTGTTCTATAACAGAAAATATTGTTATAGAATTCACTTTTCATTTATTTATTTGTTAATTTTTTAAATTTTAAATCATGACATACAAATGACAAAATTTATTTCGAAAGTTTGTTGTTCTGTGTAATTAACATTTTCAGTTTCATTCTTTGAATGTTTCAGAATAAACTTGACCAATTATTGTTTAAATGCAAATGAACACAAACAAATGTTTAATGCCAATATGTAAATAATGTTGAAATAATTGTATTACGAGACTTGTCTCATGACAATATTGTTTATATTTATTCTTATCGCAAAAAGAAAATAGTGTTTCTGCCATAAATAAAGTTTTATTCAATTCTCATTTTGCAATATAACAATAAAATCTTTGCTTTGCCTCAGGGAACAAGGTTCTCTTTGAACTGGTTACTCCAAGCACATAACTGATTTCTCTTAATTTAAGAACAAGTTGGGTTCCTTCAGTACAATCATAAATCAAAAATGGTATACCCATTTTGAAGCTGATAATCTATATATCTGATTCTTTCATCTATACTCAAGAATGATGCAACTAATTTCAGTTTGGAGGATATTACCTTTGAGGTCTGAAAATTTAGTTTCAATTAAAAAACAATTTAAACAAACTAAAACATGTATGCAACAACGTACATTTATTAAACATCTATGCAAAGTAAATAAAGTCATAAATCAGTTTGAAATCGTCATATCAAGCTATAAATAATCATGCAGGAAGCAATAAAATATATTAAATTTAGCTTGAGAATAACATGTATTTCCAAGTTCTACCTCATTAAATTGTTTATAAGAAACTTAACATTTCAAAGGAACAATCCAATTTTTAATTTACTTTATTAGTTTAGATAAAAAGGTTACAATTTTACCAAGTTTCAGGTATGCATTGCAATACTGAAATCTATTTTCTCATGGAAGAGTAATTGCTATCATTCATTATTAAATTTATTTTAACATTCATTTTGCTTCCATAGAATGAAGATTTACAATTATAAAATAATCAGCATTTTTTCTACAGCATAACAATATTTTGTCAGGAAGTACTAGAAGAGGTAGTAAATTAATTGTGCTGCAACAGCATATACATCATTGCATTATTTCCATCTTTTGCAATATTCCAAAATTCAGAGTTCAGCAAATGCTAGACTTGCACCATTTTTGTGGAGAAATTTTTTAAATAATTTCAAGCAGAAATTACAAGAAAACATTTTTCCCCCAGAGAATTGTACATTACTTTTTGTAAACATCAAATTTTTTAGAAGACATTTTATTTAAGAAAAAAATTCCTGTTGTCTATAAAGTTTTTTGCAACGTTAATTTTCTGCAGTTTTTGAAAATAAGAGTTCATCAAAATAGGGACCATCACAGATTTCTTTATTGTTCTGTCATTATACAAGGAAAAAAATGGAAAGAAGATATATTTTTAAATAAAATATCTTTAAACAACAGATTTTATTAAGGAAAAGAATCTCAGTCTTCAACATTGTAGTTGTTGGAGGAAGTCTTGGATAAAATTTTGAAGTTTTGAAAATTTAGAAATTTAAAGAAAAGCAAGACTAGCGCCATTTTGTAAGCGTTTATGCTCTCCAAGGATGAAGATGAATAAAAACAAAATTGAAACAATTTTTGACAAAATTTTTAAAATGTTGAGGCTTCAAGTAATGTATTCCAAAAATCAAAATATTCATTTCAAATATTTGAGTTTGTTGAGATGGATTGGGTAAATCATAAGATCTGTTATGGTACTAGCATTGACCGGTAAATGTTTTGTCATCAATAGGTTCTTCAGTACCAAGAATTCTACATGTTGGAAGTAATTTACTACTAGTAAATAGGAACAAGATGAGTCTGCTTTTTCGTTCAAGGGCCCAATAATGAGTTTTTGGTAGAAAAATTATAGATTTCCACTACTGCATTACATTTGCTCTTTACTATGTATGTAGTAAGCTGAAGTAAAATGATTTGGGTAAGAAGGAATTCTGTAAATAGGTCCTATAACCATAGAGCAAGGAATATTATTTCTCTAAACTGTTAACGTGAAAGAGGATAAATCATTGCACAAAAACAAGTGCCCAAGTAATTTCAACATATATATTTATTAACAGAATATAAACCTCATAAGAATACTAATTATGTACAATATTTACAAGAATGAAGGATGAATTGAAGGATTAAAATTGTATGCTTTTTTGTTGAAATGCCATTTCATATTTATTCAGGAGAAAACCGAAGTATAAACAAGAAAGCATTCAATGTGGGTCATTCATGCATTTTACATTTGCGTATACTGTGAACTAAGTACTACTAGGTAAGCTTTCCATGAGAGGTTTTTTTTTTTGGCATTCCAATACTACCACATATTCCTGCTACACAATTCAAATAGCACCTCATGAAGAATGACAACCTATGTACAAATTTTTGTCTTAATTTAAAGGCTTCAAGACCCATCTGGAGAGAATACAACAAAAGATGAAAACAAATGTTCAACTTCTTAACAATGAGAAACAAACTTTTCTTTTTTCAGAGGAAGTTTAAACAGATTCTACATTTTTATTTGAGGGTGTCTTTTTATGATACTGCTTCAAAAAAGGTATTCTACAGGTATTCTGAGCTGGAGTATTTGGTTATTGGCTTGGAACTGTTTATCAGTTGTTTTGGTCCTTCTTTCTTAATCCAAGCATACTCCTCTTGCAGTGAAGATAGACGTGTGCATTTGTGACCTAGTTTTTCTTCATAGCAGTGTTCTACTATTGTCAAAAGGGTATCCAACAAAAATACTGCATTCTTTTGAATGAACTTACTCTGTAAAATATTTATCATACATTGTTACATTAACTACAGTAATTTTAATTCAATTTTGTCATTAAATAATTTTCAAATGCGAACATATATGGTTTACCTCTGATCGAAGCTTGTCATTCTTGAGAGATGCCTCAACATGTTTCAGTTGTGCATGAAAAACATCACCTAAAACTTCATCAATAGTATACAGCAACTCAGCTGTAGCCAAACACAAACAATCCTCTACAAGAGCTAAATACAGTTTACAAAAAGCAACAGTGTTGCTTGTAAGATTAATCCAGCATTCTCCTATAACAAAAATTTGATAAAACATTTTTTAAAAGAAATATCAATAATGTTCAAATTTATTTAAGAAGAAAATTAAGAAACCTTGCTCCCAGTAAGAAAAAGCTACTAATATTAAGTAAATGTTTTATTGACTTGAAGAAACAATGAAAATGAATAAATGAAGCAGCAAGGTTTTGCTAGATGTATTTTAAGAGGACCAACAAAGACAATACAATTTAACATACATTATAATCAAACAACATTTAAATAGTACCACTACTAGATTCAAAAAGCCTTCTGCTGATAAATAATATATAGTACTGAATTAAAAGCTCTATTATATAACTGACATTATTTAAAAACTTCATAATTAGTACACCCTACTGATCTTCCAATATATGAATATTCCTTGTCAATGTGTGATTTTCCTCTTAAATTTCTGAATTCTATTTCTAAATAATAATGTGAATCTTTTGAAAATGTATTTTTAAAAGAATCTATTGAAAAAATGAAGACTGAAAGAATATTATCATATTGCTCATTCTGTGCATTAACAAGTGCATCTGAAATGAGATTTTGAAGTTAAACCGAGATTTTTTTAATGAAATGAGTATTGAATTTTTAAACACACTATTTTAGCATGAGAGAGTAGGATAAAAATGTTCAAATAAGCACCTGCATTTTTTCAAGCATACCTGTTACATATGTATGAATACTGGCAATGCCAATGTCACTCATTTCTTGTATAAATTTCGTTAAACCAGCTTTATTTTGAAGATTGAGAGGATGCCATTTATCTTCAGCACCACGCAGTTTTACAGCATCAACAAGTTTTTCTCTGGAATCCCTCAGAGCTCGGATGAGTGGTGTTCTTAGCTGTCCATCCAACTGGTAGCGTAAGTCAATACCCAATTCACAGAGCTGAGGGAAAATACCTATACGTATTCTTTTTGTTATGCGTAATTGGTCATGTCAGGTTGAGAAACTATTTGGTTAATAGCATCATCATTGTTAATAAATAATGTTTTATATTAGATAACTATTTATGAGGGTTTTTGGTTTTGTTTCTCTCTCCAGTTACCCTTGGTCCATTGAGCAAATGTTGACATTTCTGAAAACTAAAAATAACTTTTCTTCCTCCCAAATGTCAAAAACAGTTAAATACATAAAACAATCTACTGGTTAAATATTATGTATTTCAAAGAGAACTCTTAAAATTAACGGAGTTTCTTTCACAATGCACATTTCTGGTACAAGTTCATCCTGATGCTTACCGATTAATTTGCATCAAATCACTTTTCAACCCATACTTTTTATTTTGAAAGGATTATAGAATTCAGCTCCTTTTGAAAACCCTCATAAACAATACATTTACAGTAATAACACATATGGATGGAGGAAATGATATATGAATGAAATGAGACACCTATTTTCACTAACCATGGAGTGAAGTTTGTAGCACCCTATAGCTGAAAATGTGAAAAAAATATACACAGACCACTCACCAAATGTGATAACTGAAAATGGACTGTCAAAGAGAGCTATAATTGCACAAGTATTTTGAAATGATTACACTCAGTAACAGTCCATTTTCATTACCATTCATTACCTAGTAGAAAACCCAAATTAAAAACCTGTTTATGATGTAAACGTAAGCTGTTGTGTCTTGAGTCCATGTCTTTTTCGCTGTCTGCTGCAACTCAGGCTGAGGCCAAGTTTTGCCCAGCCTTGCCCTGAGGAAGCTTGCAACAAGACAGGTAGGCCTCTCAGCCTGTGTCACCCAGACAGTGAACATCAGTTTACAATGGCTGAACTCCTTACCTGGTCACATTGATCACGTACACATGTCACACATTCTGCGAGGGTAGATATTGATGATTGAGGCATAAAGACTTGTTTGATTAAATGTGATGTTAAGTGAGTCAATTCTGAACCAGCCCACCCAACAAAAGCTGCAGAGGAAAGTAAGCACAATAAGGAAGGGGTTCAATTAACATAATAATAATAATAATAATAATAATAAAGATAAATAAATATGCCCACTGAAATCTCATTTACCTGAGGCACAACTGGGTGAATTGGGAAAGGCTCTCAAGAATTCACGAGCCATATCAGTTAAATTAGAAAAAAATATTCCACCTAACTGTCTAACATACAAAACTGTAGCACCTTCTCTTTTTACTCGTTTCAACTGAACTTTCAAAATACTTGTGCACAACTTCAAGAACAAATCACATGCCTGAAATATTTAAAAACATGATATTAATGTCCTTAGTTTGTACATAATAAATACAAATGTTTGGATAAAGAATAATAGTTATTTTATTAGGGAAGGACATAATAATAATAATAAAAAAAAGGGACATTAAGATAGACATTAATAGGAAAACAGATAAGAAATTGTGCTTTTAGTTCAAAATTAACTCCATGCACTGTTGCAAAGATAATCTTGTTCAATGATTGGATAAGCAATTTCATTACTTAGCTAAAATTGTCTATCAATCAGTTTAGCTGAGTAGAAAGTTGTTTTTACTAAACCATGAAGGAATTTTCAAGAAAGTAAAAGAAATAAATCTATGTTTATAAAATTGAAATGTATGAAAATGTAATTGAAATGTAAAAAAATTGAAAAAAGAAAAGAAAAAAGAGCTGGCAATTCCATATCTTGCTACCCTAAATGCCTACTTCTGAGATAAGAACTTGGCTAATCCAGCTTGCCTTTGAAAGAAATCTCCATAAAAAATAATCCTTTTTTATCTACTGGAACACTTTTCTTAACCTTTTGCATTATCTTTCAGGAAATGAAACTAACTGTCACAGAAAGGATCAGTGATATTTGATCAAGGACAATTCTGCATGTAAATAATTCTTTCTGATTTAGCCTTCATGCTAAAACTGATGATGTAACAACAGAAAGACTTAATGAATGACGAAGTGAAACTTTCATATTATTTATTTTTCTGAGATTTTCAGTTGATTGCAAATTGAACATAATGTTTTGCAGCCTTATAGGTGCTATGGTTCTCTCACAATCACAAGCAATTAATGGAATTGTGTAAAGTATATACACTGTGTGTGAGAATGAGTGTGAATGTTTGTATCATTATTTCTTTAATTATTTATTATTTAGTCACCAGAAACAAACTGACATCCTGACATTCTGTAGGTAAAACATTAATGTAATATTATTTTATACAAGGTTTATATTCACTTGTAATTTTGTTAATAAATAGCACATGATACTAATCATTAAAAAAATTACATAAAATGGTAAAAATATTTTGATTATAACACCACAAATTATATGAACTAAAATAAATTGTCAGGTGAAGCAGAGAGGAAAGAGGTTTTTGAAGGAGGTAATTGAGGACGAGGAGTCCATTGTACTGCTTTCAGATCGAAAATGCTACATTGTTTTCAACCAAGAAGAATCCACTTTAGGTTGTGGCATGACTTATTTCAGATTGTGCAGTAGATTGTTCCTTAGATTATTGGTGATATTACCTGAGTAGATCGACCCAACTGATTCAGTAGCCGAACAGCCCTCCTGGCAGCTCGTAATCCACCTTGTAAAGATTTATCAGGAGAAACTTCTAATTCTTTCATTAAGACTTCAATAAGTGATTTGACTCTAGCATCTAATTTGCGCCTAGATGAAGAGAATTTTTATCATGTCCAAGATGTAAATAAATCAAATGAAAAATTAATAATTTATGAAAGTGTTGTTACCGAATTTCTTCTATAACAGGATCACTCATATGATTAGGGCAATTTTTGTCTACAAAGTCTCTGGCTCTCTCAATTAAATTATATGCATCTTCAAAATGCCTTTGAGCAATACACACATCTAAATCTTCAGGCATTTCAACCAGCCATTCAGGAAGCTCTGGTTCTGCAGGCCCATCATTATGATCTTCAAATGCTGTAGCAACATATAACATGCAATATTAGTCAGCATTTTTTGTTAAATATGCCAAGAAAGATATTTTATAGCTGTCTACAGTCTTGTTTAGAGAAAAAATCAATAACATTTCCATTCAGTTTCACTAAAGCTCATTATTTATTGCTGTTTATGGAAATGATGATGATTACTATGACCAAGCCAATGCCTACAACACGCTCCTAACAAAAAATTGCCACATGATTTCATGCTTTTGGAGTTGTGAAAAAGGAATTTGTGTAGTTCAGGTTTTCTTGAATAGTGCAACATCTCAATTCATATAAACAATTCATCTTAGCTTTCACAGCTTCAGTTTTAAATACTTCTGAAGAAATTAATTAGTCAGTATTTCTCCAGAGGTACAGTACATACCAATAATATCCCAATGTTATTCTGATTGATACCAATTACATGCAAAAATGTACTAAACAGATTATAACAATAGCTACATATAATCTTCAAGTAACATCTTAGCTGATGGTATTAATACTGGAAAGGGAAATTAAGTACTTCCAAATCCCTCCAAATTGATCATGGCACTTCTGTCACAGAATGTATCTAGTTGGTGGTTGTTGGTATGTTGGCCAAGATTTTCAAATGTCACCTAGTATTTTAAAGAAAACTAACAAGCCTAGCAAAATTTAACTCTTTGGTATAAGCACACTAAGTGAAGTTCACTTTTAAATATAGTATAGATTTATTTTTCACTGTTAACACTGAATTTTCAAAAACTTCAAAATTTTGAAACATTATTGGCTTATTCCTACAATTAGAAAATTGAAGATATGATTTTTCCTTCAAGTAAATTTTTTTTCAGGGGTTCTTTCATTATGGTCAGGTACATTATCTTGAAAAATTTAGTTTTCACGCAATACAGTGTACAATATGAGCAATATTCAAAATAACAAAAACAAGATTTTCTCAAAAAAAATTCCAAGTTTTTTCTTTGAAATTTTAGTAGGGATAGTGCTAAATGTACTCTATAAGATAACATAAATGCCATTATGATGTATTCTGCATTCTTCTATTTTTTCAATAATTACAAAAATTTGTTTTTTTTACTTGTCTCTCATTATTAATATTTTCATTAACGATAATTAGTTTCGATTATTGCATTTATGAATACATGATGTCTGTAAATGTCTGTCATTGTAAATGATGTGGTGGATCCCAAAGTTTCTTGGAAACTGATAAGTTTGCTGTCAAAATGAGCTTAAAATTCCGCATTTTCAGAAATGCTCAAACGCCATTATCACAAAAACGTCTCCAAATTGGTACTTCAAACTTTTCATATAGATAGTGCTAGTTTCATATTTTTATGAAGACATAAAAGCAATTTTGCTAAATTCTTTTGCTCTTAAAAAAATTACACAAATGTAATTTTTTTAAAATATTTCTCAGGCCTTTAATGTACACACTTCCAGTGATTTGTATACATCACAGCATTTGCGAGTAGAAGTGCTTCAAATGACTTCCAATAATTCTTGAAAAAATTCAAAAGATTTCTGTTAAAAAAAAAAAAGTCTAATTTTACATTTACAGTAACTCTTCAACAATATTTTCTTATAAGCGGCTCCAAAGTTTTCAGCAAAAATGTCCATATATGACAAGGATTTACACTTCTTTAATATTCTTGAAGTAATATTTCAATTCTAGCAACAGGAAACTCAAATAGAAACGATAGAGAATGAAATATTGCTTTGAATAAAAAAAACTGTTATTGACGTTTGTGTTTTCCAGGTATATCTGTGTTTAAATTCAAAATTTCAAGAGCGGATAAATAAATTAATAAAAAGTATTGGTTAAAGAAGGGTTCACAGTAGACCCTCAGAGAAGCGTGGTGGCGTGTGGGATGGGTCTCCTTAAGCCCTCCCTTGAATTATGCTACGCATTCTGAAAAAAATGAATAAAACTTACAGATATGAGATTTTCATGGCTCGCCCTTCATACGCTTTATCCCCTCTGCATTATAATACCAATTTACTTTCGATGGAAAGTTTTCTTTCTTCTCTCGCAAGAGGCTCGCAAGAGGCAACGAGGCTCAGTCCTTCAGCACTCATGTTCACTATAAACATCCTTGAATCTATCCACCTCATAATTACCAATTCACTTTTATAAAAAAGCACTTTTCAAGAAAGCCTCCAGAAATCAAACTACACAGTTACCGCCGGTTACACACCAAGTGCTGGTTTAAATGACTTCTGTAAGTTGTACTGTATACTCGCCAAAGTATTTTTGTATTTTGAATATACAAAATGCATGTTCAAATATGTATTGTCGATACAAAATACAAATTACAAAAATATCAAAAATATGTATTTTAAATATAAGTATTGTTGATATTGCCCAACTCTGACACCGGATATAAAAAAATATGATTAGAAAAGTAGTCGTTCATAGTTTATTATCAGTTTAACTCTTTCTCATTCATTAATAAATGCATTAAAAAATAACAAAAAATAAAGAAACTACTTTAGTCAATAGAAGCTGTGGTAAAAGGATAACGTGATGTGCTCGTTTCCTGTTCACAAAACATACATCACCAGTTCCATAAAACTTGCATTGAGCCAATTGGTAGGTAAATAAATGCACTGTTTTAAATGAAAAACATCAAAAACCATGAAATTCTTTAGTGCTGCATACTTTCTGATAGTGCTATGGGCCAGTACCTATATAACAACTTAAACAAAGGCCAAATGACAGAAAGTCTAACTTGCACATTTTGCACATAATTTTTTTTTTCTTTTTTGCAACTGTCCTCAGAATAATGCAGCTTTGGCAAAGTCCAAGGAGTGGGAGGGGCACTAAGCATACGAGCCTCATATCAGTGGACATTGCTATGCCATTTTTATGAATACCCTATTCAATGACTGTCATTTGTGAACCCCAAGAAATAATTAGTACCTAAATTGTTGTTTCTTTCAAATACTTGCAATTCTAATTCTACATTTCACAAAACTATGATAAAGAAAAGTTACGTCAGGAATCCTCTTGTTTCTAGTAGGTGAAGATTTCAAGATAGTTGTTTTGGAATTCAGACAAATTAATGGAAAACACTAAAGTACTTACGGTTGCTTGGCGAATCAAGAGATTCTGACTTGGCTAGTTTAGAAGGAGAGCGATCTGCTGTAGCAGTATTATCTCGCTTCTGTTGTTCTTGTGCAAGTCGTGATTTCTTTGCATGATCACATTTGTCAAGCCATTCTCGCTAAAATATACAACAATGATAAATACTATGTTTTTATAAATTTAAAATAATGCTCACCTGTCATTGGGGAAAATTAATATATCAAGTAAGAAAAAAAATTAAAAATATTTCAAATTGTACCTTCAATTTGGCGCTGCTGCAACGAAACACTCTAGTGTCAGGAAAGGCCAATAACTTGAACAGACTATCCCCAAGTCCTCCAAGATCTCTTACATTTACAACAGCCAAACTGCCCAATTCGTAAGTAGTCTGAAATTTATACCTCACTGGTCCTCGACTAAGAACAAAATAGAATATATTTAATGCTAAAAGTTTTCATGAAAGAGGATCAAAAAAACCTTGAACTTTACTTCTACATTTACTGTCAATTTAAAATTAATGTGTCCTACTGCCAACGAAGTAAAATGAGTTTCAAAATAATGTCTGCACATTTTTTATACCTATTTTGAATCCATGTAGCCAACATAAGAACATCATTAAGTAAATAAGCTTGTATTTGATGAATTGGTTTATTGTCCATGGGATCCAGTTCCATTAATGTGCCTTCATGCAAAAGAACTCTTCCCGGTACTTCTAGAATGGCCTAAAAAAATCCTTTTAGTTGGTTGTTTCACAGCATTAAAAAAAATATGAACATAATTACTACCTATAATACAAACCATTGCACCCTCTACTTTCTCAAGAACTGCAGCTAGTTTTCTTCTTCTCTCTTCCTCCTCTTTTTCTTCATCAACTTGATTTGCATCAACAGCTTCTTCTGATTCTACTGTACTAGGAATTTTATCACCAAGAAGAGACATAGTTGTCAATGAAGAAAGTAAAGAATTTTGTTCGTTCAACAATCGAGATAACTCATACATTTCACTTTCCAAATCTGATTTACAATTAAGGAAAAGAAAAAAATCCCATATTCTACAAAATTAATAAATAATAACATATTAAATTGAAATTCGAATTTTAAATAAAAAAATGCCAGTAGAATTTGCTTTCTAAGGATACGTGATATCTCTTTTGCTGTTTCAATAAACTGCATATAGTTTTGGTACACATTTTTCTTCAATAGAACACTTGTTTCATCTGCAAGGCTTTGGATTTTCTGTCTCTGTTGCTGAAGTTCTTGACCACCAATGCATTTCCGAGTTAATTCATTCACATCTGAAGATTCCATGTGTCAATTATATTAAAAAATTAATGTAGGAACTAAATAGGATAAATGCCTTGAATATTTCACTTACATTTTTCAGGATTAAAATCCGGACGAACAACAACGGTGGAAAATGTATCTGCCATATTACTCTTCGACATTAACTCAAAAACTTAAAAAATGCGTGTCTTTTAACAGAACTTTCTTTAACACTATTTACAACACCGTATTCTTCGTCTAAAATATAACCGCCACCACAGTACTTAATTTACCGAAGTTGCAAATTTGACAGTTCAAAAAAATTAGGTGAACTCCGTTGACAGGAACACTGTACCCAAAATAACATGATGTTATCGTCAACAAATGGAACGAATTATCTCGTTCAGAGTGTACAAAGATTTACCTTATGTGGCCTATCGTTTAACTAGCTCTTTTTCCCGCAGATTACTTTGATTATCTATTTCTAACTCCGGCCCTGGCAGCTGGTGGCGATTGACGGCAATCAGCAGTTTGCCATTGCCGCCATTGCCCAGTCATTATAGAATACCACATGCCATATCGGTAATACGGATTTTAAGCGATAGAGCGCAACAGTTGTTGTAGTGTTTTCATCACGTGACTTTTAGAAAATCTCCCGGGAATTCAATGGTCGAAAATATGGTTTCATTATTACCGTATCCTCAATTCCTTTAAATTCTCCGTCTTCTACTTACATGCTAATGCTCCAGTTGATCGACACACGTTTGAGATCCTCCACTTGTTCGAACTTCTTTAGATCCTCCACCAGGTCGATTTGCGCGTGCAGCACCTTTTTGAGGAACCTTAGTTCATCCATGAATACATCTTCCTCTTTATTGACTTGAAATCCATTTGATTGACCTTCATGCAGTCTTCGCTTAATTAACTACGGACATAAAAACAACCAAATACAACATAGTATGACAGTTAAGAATAACCGATGGGGAACCAAGAAGGCTAAGAAATCTACCCTAGGATTCTGACTTAATTTGCTTTGAATCAAATTCCAAAGCTGTGCATCAGTATGGATACCTCTGTTCATTTCAACACAAGGAACTCTTCGCATGGGCTAAATAAAATGGACATAAGAGTTCATGGAGGCAATGTGTATTGATTCACTTATATAAATATTTCATACACTTTGCATGGAGAATGATTGTCTGTGAGCCAAAGCTGGAAGAGTTTTTTCTACTGGAAACTGGTATTGATGGTTGCATTCACTTCTGGCTTGGACATCATGAGGTCACACTCTTGACTGCATTGTGATTGTACAACTGACTGTATAGACTGAACAGAATTTCCCTTGGGACCCATCATAATAGTCATTAATATAATTACCATCATGGCCAGCGCCATATGATATCCATAATACAGCTTTAACTCCAATAAACAAATATTAAAAATATATAAGAAAGTTTACTACATACTCATATTTTCAAATAGTTCAGTTATTGATTGAATTAGTACCCATGTGCAGAGATTTAGATAAGTATTTAAGAACCTTCCAAAGTCAAAGAGTGATTTCTTTAAAGAAAAAAATATGAAAATTTCCATTAATATCATTCAAAGTTAATTTTAATTTATCTGTTCTTTGTAAATGCTTTGTATTGTTGAAATTTTCAGTTAAGTACTACTTCGCTTTGTACGTGAGTAGCTAGCATTCTATTCTCGACATCATTCACAAAACATTAAATGCTTTTCTCACAAATGCTATTCTTTGACACTTGTGATACATGCACACACATTAAAATTTATTTCAAATGTGTATTCAGTATTAGTAATTTTATGGGAAACATATTCTCTTACTTACCTTTAAATTATCTACTAGTAATTCTCTAGAAATTTGCTTGTTTTATTTGAGAAATGCGAGAATAACTTTAAAGGTAGCAGGCATATTCCAGAGGATCACAACTCATAAAGGCAACAATAATAATTTCTCAAGAAAGTAATTTGTTCAAGTAGTACTTTATGATGGTACTCAATGGTTGCCTCTGAAAATTTATTTTGAAAAGAGAGCCAAATGTGGCTTTCAAGTAAATGGTTGAGAGCATAGCTCAATTTAGAAAATCTGATGATTGTGTATTAATCATCTTACAGATTCAGCTTGTGAATGTTGTCATGTAGTGAGGTTTTCACTTTATGATTCTGTAGTGAAAGGTTAAATACTCTTTCTCCATTTAATTCACCTGTTGATAATAATTCATTCAAAACAGCCTTCATCTTCATTAGTTTATTACCCAGAGATTTGCATTAATGTAAATGCACTATTATAATAATGACAGATGAATAGTTAATAATCTACAAATGGTATGTATTCTGAACCTCTGGTGTGTTTGTAATTCACCAAAAATTGTCCCTTTTCCTTTAAATAAAATGTAGTATCAAAGACAAGAATTTTTCATCATTTAAGTATTGAAATGTAAGAGAGATTAACTCTTATTTTTATGTAATTTTTTTAAAACTATAAATACATTCTTTCCTATTGTTTGTAATTTGTATAATTGAAGCATATGTAGATATGTGGTGTGTTCCAACAAATTTGTCGAATAATAAATTTTAAAATTCCTTTATATTTAATTAATTACTTCAAATCAGGAAAAGTTTATCAAAATTAATCTCAAAAGTTGTAATATTGAGTGAATATAAAATTACATGATTAAATGTAAAGTGAAAAAGGTAAATTTTTCAGTTTAAATGAGAGTCTCATCTTTGTGAGCAATTAGATAAAGTATTATACTATTCTTTGTTTTTCATTAATAAATAAATTGTACAGAATATATATGCAATCGATAGCCAAAGATTGTTAATTTGGATGAACAAATGAGGTTTAACATTATGAAAAAGACACTAACAATTACATCTTACCACATTTCTTTTGGTTTGTAGGGTAATTCATCTCTTAGAATGTGAAAATATATACTTCATTTGTCTTTGTAATCTTGTGTAATCATGGCTTATTTTTATTAAAATTCGAAATTCATGGACCTTCATATAAAATTAATACATTATGAAGTATGTATGTTCTTAAATTGTTTTAACCAATGGAATTCTGAACACAAAAGTATGTATCTTTTTGATTGTGTATTTAATGTTCAATTGAATGTTTAAATTTAAAAATGTTGTTAAGTTTTATTTATTTTAAAGAGTTTCTTTAACAATATTTTGGTTCATTTAATAATCTATGAGTTTAATTCCTAAAAATGTTCTGAATGACACTGATAACAAGCTACTAGTTTTTAGGATGTATGGTATGAAATTGTATGATATCCAGAACCCATAAAACTGTTTTTATTGCTTAGATCATTCAGATATAATTAAGGCTCGGAAGCTAATGCTATATCAAAAGGAAAATAATGCATGCAGATATGTTCTAATATTTATAAATATGTGCCAAAACAAATGAGATATGCTCTAACAATTAACAGTTTTAGATATTCATGAATGACAAAACTTTTAATTTTAACAATTAATTTTGAGATTTTGTCTCCACTTAGTAATCCAGCCATAATTTTTAAAGTAAAATATAATGATTTTGTCTGTATCATCATCAAAGTATCTATTCTAATGCCACACATTCTTTATTGAAAATAAGTTATGACTTGGTTCATAAGCAGACAAATTGTTTCCGGCTACCAGTGTCTTGATATCATCTAAAAGAAGTTCATACAAGTACTGCTACAATGAATGAAAGACATTTCCATGATTTCTCATGAATATGCACAATTTACTTTCACATTTTTGAAGTTCACTTTTCAGTTTGAGGAGACAAATATGAATATTAATTGAAATTCCAAGATAAACATATCACATTAAGAACAAAAAAGCAATAAAATATGAATAACAGAAATATAAAGAAAATATGATGCATTAGCACAAAATACACACTAATATGCTACATAAAATCACTGAATTTCTGTTCGTTTGATTGTGTTTTGTAGACATTCGATAATTAGCATGTAATAAAGCTCACAATTAAAATTCATATTTCATAATCTTCTGAGCCATAGATATAATTTATCTAAATAAAATTGAAGTTTTATGTGCTTATTTAGATGATGAATCTATTAGACAACAGTCAAGAAACCAGACTACTAGCAAGATACTCACCACTTGACCTCACATCTAGATTCAGTCGAGTTAGCACTGGGCAACATCACAGTTGTAATTATAAATTAATTGATTTTATTTTTGTATGTAATTAAAATTCACCAAAAGTTCAAATTGTAAAAATAATTATGAATAAAGCAGAATTAAGAAAGAGAAAAGAAAAAAGAAGAAAAATTAGATGATGTAGAAATCAATTCAATAGTTTTTATGATTTGTGTATGTTTGTACAGGCTAACCTCTGGAGTGGCTAATTTGAATTGAACAATGTTTTTGCTGCAAGATTGAGTATTTTTTCTGGCCAACTTAGGCAACTTCTTATTCAAATTATTATTTTATAATATATAAAGATTAATGTTTATTTATTTATTCATTCATTCTTTTACACAAATTCACAGTTTTATTCTGATTTTAATGAAATTTGGTTTTTTATACATATATGACTGTCAAAAAAGGAGGAAAAAATTTTCTTCTTGAGATTTTATTCCATCTCCCTTTCCTACCTCTTAAACAAAATTTTAGTGAGCAGCCTTACAGTTTTTCCCATACATCTAAAAAATAGTGAGTTAATCCACTAAAATAAATTAAATTTATCTGAAAGCCCAAAACATTTTCAACTAAATTTAGATTCATTTCAATACCGCAATTAGATTCTGAGTAATTTAGAGGTCAATAGCAACGATGATCAGAACAAACAGGGGGCAGGGCAGGGCACAGTGGAGCTGGACAGGTGGGATTAGGCTTCGTTTCGTGAGATCAGGCAGGATGAAAAACAGAGGGGGCAGGGCACATAGGTGGGAATAAATTATACATAAATTTCATTTTTTTCTGTCTAATGCAAGATTGGGATAAATAAAAACAAAAAATCCAAGCAATGTAGGGTACTTCAGTTAGTCATAAATAAAACAGACTGCTTTAAGGATAAATGAATTCAATACACATTACTCTCTTCATCAATTTTTTTTGTTTTTATAAAATATTTTGTTTCATTTAATAATAAGTGTAAAATATGTTATCTACAACCAGTTGGCATTTATTTATTTTTGTAATGAATTCAATAGTTACACACCGAAATCTAAACAAGATGTCTTGAAAATATGGAGAAAACAAGGCACATGAAGAAACAGATCAAAAAATCAAAATCAAAACTTGTGATAAAGAGAATAAATTAATACGTCTAAAAATGGTTCAAATCATAATAATCGTGAATAAGGTAATAAAAAATAATCATTTTCTTTGTTGATAACAATGATTCTTTCATTGATAAAAAGTATCATACGATATCAAATATTTAATTCAAAATCTGTTACGGAGAGGCTCTAGTAAAATTTCAAAAAATACAAAGAAAAGGGTATGATCAATGTGTAAAGTGGAAAAAATTGAGCTTAAAATAAAGTATAAGATGTAATTAGCAAATTGCTATTGATTGTTCCTAAACTCAAGATGTTCTCTTCAACGCATTGGGACAAAGTTTAAGAAATTTCTGTGGGGAATATGCTTTTTCAAACCTATGAATTGTTTTAAAACTGTAAATTTTCAACTAATTAATAGGTGAACATGGAAACCGTACTTGATTTTTAAAATCAGCACGATTAAGAAATGGACATTTATAAGTCAATTAATTGTCATCACATTATTGGTTTTCCCTCAAAGATAACTATTGTTCATATGCACTAAGCTCTATTCAGGCTCATGTTCGGAAGATTCTTCTTGAATGTGTCGCATTGTTTAGCAATCTTAGTTCACAAAAACCTAACATGTAAGACTTTTGGCTGATTTATAAAGAAATTAAAGCGGAACTTCTATAGATGAGAGAAGAATTTTTGTTTCCTTTACTTTCCAAGTGTAGTTCTTTCAAAGACAGCCAAGTTAGGGCATTTCATAAGACAATTCTAATTTATATTGTCACAAGATAAATAAATTCACAAAATATAATTCAATTTTTTGTAATTATTATTCATGTTTAATTCTAACTGACATTTTGTAGAAAATGAAAACCTCAAACATCCCTATTTTGTAACATTGTTGATCTTGATTGAGGAAAAGGTGGGAAAAGTCACACGAGGTTTGCTAAAAAATTATCACCAGTTTTTATAATTTTGTTTGGGCCAGCTGAACTGCTTTACTTGTAAATATGAGGAGACATAATATTTCATAGTATTTTTCTCATAGCATTACACGTTTATCTGTGATGGTGCCAACGTTTTTGGATGTTTTTGTGTCTTTTCTTCATCTAAAAAGTCCTTTACATACTTATTATAAAGAAGACCTGCAAAAAGTAGCATATATTTATTTGAAGCCATTGTGGTTAATGTCAAAAGAGAAATTGAAATTAATTAATTCAACCTGTCATTTAATAATTCTTCAATGATACTAAAACATAAAATTACAGAGAAATCAGGAAGGTTCACAGACCTTTTTCCCTGTGTGATAATTTTTGCTAAAAAAAATTAGAACCTATCATTTAATTTATGATTTACATAATGTAATATCATTCATGACATATATAGTTTTCTACTTTCTTTCTTAGAACAGGTACAGAAGAAGACAAAGTCGAATTAAGGTCTTAAACCTACAAAGTATTTTTTTTCTGCTAAATTTACCATTGTCACTACTTAAACATCTGCCTCCACATTTACTTAAGAAAAGTAGTCCAGTCAACCCAAACACATTATAATATATGTACAGATAATTTTTCATTTTTCCTTTAAAAAGAGTCCAATAAGTACTAAAACTTTGACACAATATTAATGTGAATGCATCAATTTCTTCATTTTACTAGATTAATTACAAACATTTACAGTTAACTAGAGATAACAATGCATTAAGTAATAAATGTCCCTACTGTTGGAGTAAAAAAAAGATGAATTTTACAAAAAGAAGCAATTTAGATAAAGGAATTGCTGAACACAGTATGAAAATATAAAGAACAACTTTCCAACAAGCAAGTTGAAATATCCCACAATGTTATTAAAATGCGTTATTTCACATGACTAAGAGAAAAATTTTAAGAGGTAGGATTTTCAGTTTCTAAAATGAAACTGAATGAAAACTCAGAATATATACAGGATTTGGATGCTTGAAGTAATAGGTGATAGAAAAAGATTTAAATTCATACAACATGAAGTACTCAGTTATAGTAATTGATTCATATTAGAGAAGCCATTGAACACGGGGTACCATTGGGTCCTATAAATAAAAAGCTTCACTAAAATATTAAAATGTGCACAACTTAAACATCTAATTAGTTTTCATAGCCATGCGCACAAAATTGTTCAAAAACATCTAAAATTCTAATTGTACCATTTTCACCTTTATTTATGATAACAACTGAATGATTCCAATTTAAATTTTAAGCTGTATGACCTGTTTTAAAATGGGAAATAGGAATCAATTTGTTTTAGGAAACATACTGTCCGAGGAACCTGGAAGCATGAATACTGTTTCATTGATAATTATGCAAAATTACTCGTCACACACTGATAAGAATATAGATGACAGTTCACTTTTTTTCATTCAAAACCTCATATAGTACATATGAGATACAAATAGCTGTATTGATTATCATGTTTCCAAAGTTCTCAAACTGTCACTATACAAATGTATGAATCATTCAAGCATACACACAGAAACTGAAATAGATGTATTGAAATGTGGATGAGTGTCCTACATTTAGAAATCATCAAATGTGTAGTTTTCATTCATTTTCTATAACAATTAACATGAACTTTGTTGTAATGGCTTGATTTGAGCAAATATATTTTCTCCACTACTTACGTGTTGCATGTTCATTCATGAATTGATTGTTAAAAGTCTTGTGTCCACTTCTTATTTTCAAAATACAAAGAAAAAAAGTAACTAGTAAACATGATTAAAAACAATTAACTTCAACTACTTTGGTGTATTCATATGAACATATCCAGTGATTCAGACACTAGAGCTCTGGCAATCGATATGAAATCTCATACAAATTCATAAGAGCTTCATGGCAGGTGGGAGACAAAAAAACACCTCTGGTACATTCCACCATGAATTACCTTAAATTTTACACAGTGCAGCCTCATTTTAATACTATTAGTGCAATTAGTTCCATATCTTTGGTATGACTTAACTGTATGCACTTTTTCATGTCAAAAACGTTCACAAAATGTGAAAAACAACCATCACTATTGTTGGCACAATTGAATGGGTTATAGGTGGTAATGTTTATTTGTGCATTTAAACAATATGTTTACAGAATATTAAAAACTCTCTTCTATATTTTTTTTAAAAACATTCATTCTTGAAATAAACAGCTGCTTAATAGGGTGAAAATATCACACATGGACCTCATACTTTAATGGTAAATGGAACGAAGACTGACTGAGCTCCCTATGAGTCAGTTTTCTTCACTGCAGAATCACTTACACTATGGGGCACTTTGCACTTTTGGTGAAGAAAATGCAGCGGAATATTTTGTAGCTACCTTTTCTGGCATAGGGACATACTCATTAGAAACAACAAAAAGTATATTCAAAAAGATTTATGGTGATTCATTAACCAATGGAGTACATTTGAAATCTCTAAAATAGGTTAATTAAATTAAATTCAACTCAAGTGGTAAGGTGAAAGATACAATAAGTGTATTCCAAATATCATTCCAATATATTCTGAACATATAGTAACAATTTAACGCAATCACTTTTAGGGAGAAATATCATTTTTCATTGCTTTTCAAACTTACATTTGCAGTATAGAATTCAATACCAACATATTTATGAAGTGTACTGAGAGATGAACTCATTAACTGACACCACTCATATGGGACAAGCATTTCCCAGTCTTAATAATCACTAGAGCCAGGGATTCCTATGAGCTTATTAATCGAGGCAAATTATCAAATTAAGTATATAAGAAGATATTGGTCATGTATTTCCATGCACCATTAACATCAACTCTATCCTTAATGAATGCTGACTCTTTTAATTATCTAGTCTTTTCAATACATATATTATTAAAAGATAATTTTGAAAACTTTGATCACCAACTTCTTCAATCATTCTAAGACTACCTTACATGAGCTTTTTTTCATTTTTTGACTTTTCAAGCATTCAATTATTTTCAACAGGCTCTGATTATTACTTTGATAAAAACAAAAAACAGAGAACATATATCCTTAAAAGAAGATAAAATGCTGCTTAATTATTTGCCCCGTATTACTATTATTAGTGCAACTATGTTTAAGCTTATGTTTAGTCACAGAATATCTGTTTCATAAATCTTGTTTGTTGTAGTGGTGGTTGCAGAACTTGTATTTGATGTTGTAACTGTTGTTTCTGTAGATGAAGCAATGGTGCTAGCCACTGCTGGGTTATTGGTTTCTGTTTTCTGTTGAAGACCAGCAGAAGGACCAGATACAGACATAATGGGTGGATTTGAAGCAGCAACTGCTGCAAGGTTCCTCAACGAGCCAGAAATAGGAGCTGCGGCAGTAAGTCCATGCCCTAGCCCCATTTTGGCCAGTAAATTGCTTTCACTGCCAGTTTTCTTCAGGAGGAGGTCAGGGGGAGGAACCACAGTCAAGCTTCCCCCACCCCCACGCTGCAGCTGCTGCAGCCGAGCATACTGCTCCTGAAGGGCTCGTTGTTTCCTCAATAACTCTTGATGCCTCTGTTCAAGAATTTCCTGACGTGCTTTGTTTCCACTTTTATTCTGTAGGCCTTCTTGTGAGTTTACACTCTCACAACTGGAGCTGTTACTTGCAGAAAGTGGGTTGAAGGTCCCTGGAGTGGAGAGGTTGTCCTCACCGCCAGATGGTTTTGTGTCTGCAGGCAGTGAAATGCTGTGAGAGCCTCGCAGAGGCTCCCTTAAGCTGCTTCTCCCTGAGCCTCCTCTCCTCAAAAGAGTGCCACCTCCAACCCCCATCTGAGGTTGGTTTGGAGGGTGTTGGCCTTTTGGAGGGAGAAGAGGGCTAGTTGGTGAAGCAAGAGGGGATCTGGAGCTTGTGCGGGGTGGCGGAGGGGGAGGAACTCGGCGGCCAACTAATTGTGAAAGGAGTTCTGAATTCCGTTCTGGAACAGGAGGTTTAGGTGAAGTTGCAGGTGACTTTGGTGGTGGATCTGTTGGACCACTAACTTGCAACCGAGATAGAGGTACGGTAGGGGGTGAATTTCCACCACCATCTGAACTACTGGGATATGAATGTAGTCGGCGAAGAGAGGAAGATGCACCTGGAATCATGGAGGGTGAACCTGATGAAGGATGAGCAGAATCAATACTTCCCTTGCGACCAATCTCAGACATGCTTGGATTATGAGAGGTATTTGTAGGTGGTTTGGCAAATGTTTGCAGCTCATCTAGCAGAGCGTCGAGTGCGTTCTCCGGACGCTGCCGAGAGAGGGAGACGTCGCTTCCGCTGCTGACTGCGGACGCCATGACACCGCGCGTTGAAACGGTACCGGTCTGGTAGAACAGGAAGATACAAAAAGGAATCAAAACCAATCACGTTGTTTCCAAGAGATACATACAAATCATTTTACTAGACTAATATATGTATATATTGAAACTTTGAAAATTAAATTAAAGAATTCTAAAAGAGTTACAACAATGCTGAATTGTTGAAACAGAAATACCAATTAAGTTGGTTAATTTATTTCTTTGTACCCTTTTAAAAATTGGAAAATACAAAACAAAATAAATAACTTCAAGTTTATGACATCCATTATCGTTCCTTCATAACAAAAGAACCAGAAGTGAAGAAAATAATACTCATGTAAAAAGAAAAGACACACCACTTACTTTGGAAAGAATAAAAAAGCACTATTAATATAACAGTTTTCAATTAAAGTTTTTGAAATTCATTAATGTTATGAGAATTCAAAAATTTGATTTATAACTGTTTTGCAATTACATATAATTCAGTAATTCAAAATAAATTCTGTTATCTGATACAACATACATAAGTTTATGGAAAAAACAACGGTAATAATTACAATTACACTCTGGTAGGAAAAGATAATTTGTAATGGGGTTTATGTTGAATACAGTACATTAGTTCAAATTGGTAATAAATTATTACATATGTTTATTCTTCATTTTAAATAATTTATTTCTAAACAATGCATTTTTATTTTATGATGTATTTAACAATTTTTATCTGTTTTCTCAAGAAGCATAAAAAAATTGGCTTCATTCATGGTTTTCATTTCTTTGTTGTTTAATCATCCCTTGAAGAATTCTTTAATATTTGAACCCATTTGAAAATTCTAGTTCAAATGCATTAAATATTAATTTCCAACATTAATGGTAGAACAAACATGCAAAAAATATATAAAAAGTTCAATTTGCAACACAAATAACATTAATAAATATTTCTATAGGCATGTAGTTGCCAAAGATACATAACTACACACTAGGAGTTACTTATCTCTACAACCTTCAAAATGTATTCTTTTATATTTCTGACAATTATTAGTTACTTTACATAGATCATAGAAGAAATGTCTTGGGTAGATAGAGATCATTATTTTGGAAAATGTGGTAACATACCAAGAAAAATGTTTTTTCCAAGCAGCTTATTTTCAGAAAATGGTATAAAGAACTTAACAATTAAATTTTAAAGACTACTTGCTTCTTAGTACTCTAAAAATTAATATGAAACAGACCTTCTCGATTTTTACATTTTTTGACATCCATAAACCATGGCCTCACTGACAGGGTGCTTACTTCACTTTTGATCCTCTGGTGTAGTGCTTGGCCAACTTCCCTGCCTATAAGTCAATATGATACCAATGAAAATACAACACCAAAAAGCATGCCCTCAGCAACTCAGACCTTTCATATTTATTCGGTTTACATCCAAACAGCTCTGGCTGTGTTGTCATAAAATTTCTGGTTAATAAGGGAATACAGAAAACAGACTAAGGAAGTTGGGAAGCAGTAAATTATAAAAATTGCCAAAAACAAATGCTTAAAACAAACATCTTTTGAGAATTATTCCAAAATAATTAAAGAAGACTGCTTTCATAATATAATTTGTGTTAGGAATTAAAAATTTATTTGAAGTGACATAACAAAAATGAATGCTTGAAAAGAAAATAACTCAGTGCACTACAGAGATGTAATGGTGCAACCAAAAAATAAAAAAAGGAAAGAGTATGGCATGCACATGCTGAAACAAAATAAAAAGTTATACATGCTTCAACTAATAATCATACAAGGTAATGTTAGTTGGAAACAAAATAAGTGGCAATTTAAATATTTGGTATTGATGTTCATGAATCTCTTGTGCCATAAATCATTTTGAGCTACAGAAGTAACCAAACCCATAATACCAAAATACCTAGAAAATAAATGGATATGACAGATAACAAAACATGAAAAGATACAAAGTAATGAGAATTTGAGTAGAAATAAGGATATAGTAATGAGATACTAAAATATCACTCTGGTTCAGATATATCACCCAAGCTTTTTTAAAAAAAATACAGATAGGAGAGATGGGACAAGAATTAGCACATACCTTAAGCAAACTATACCATAAGGAATTCAATTACTTCTTGCAATGGAATATTACTTCATATCAAGTAGGTAAAATAAGATAGTAATAGAATCAATATATTACCAAGACATTCCTGCATGATTCAGAGAGAACTCTCTGTTGATTAACAACCACAATGATATCATGACTCCTAATGTAGGCTAATTCTGAAATATTAGAATTGCTATTCTTAAGCCACAATTAAGAAAAACATGCAGTTTTACAAACCATATAAAAAAACAACAGACATCTGTAATATATTTTCTAAGCTAACCCAAAATTTCTTAATAATATTTGTCTTTGTTCGTGCCTTTTTCACAAATACCCCAAATCACATCTAAAATAAATGACTCTACTATCCACTTAGTTTTGAATTGTATACATACTTTCCAGTACTGCACAAGTGATTTCACTTTAAAACACACACCTAGTAGATAATACTTTTGAACAATGGTATTTCCCCCCCTTCATGTCAAGTTACAAATTGTAAACAAAGAATGGTAAAATAAAAATATAAGTGAGATCACTGTGTGTTCCTGAAAAGACTTTACAATACTTCCTTACATATATCACAGAAATACTTGAGAACAATGCATGCACAAACTGTACAATGAATAAAATTAGAACAATAAAAGCCTTACAATAAAAGGAGAAAAACATTGCATTTTAAAAATAAATACATTAATGTTTCAAAATCTATAGCTCTTTCTCATTGACAAACACAGCACCACAATATGGTAAAATCATATTATTTTATTTGGCTCCAAAATTTTCTTTCCAAGAACTGAAGTTTTTAAAAATACATTAAAACAATTTTCACATTCTTCCACTTTAATCTATTGGAATACATATAATTTGCTTTAGTTCATTATGTCACGAGTAATGTGACTGATATAATAATTTGCTAGGGAAGTTCCTTTAAATATTGAAATCAAGTTCTGTAATGATATGCTACTGAGATAGGTTTACTTCCAATTTTATTTCTAAATCTGTTTTCTAAATCTTAGTCAACTCAAACTGTAATAGCTTTTCACTTATTTCAAACTTCTAGTAAATTTCAGGTGTTTCTAAATCAAGATACACACCACGCACATATACCAAGAGATACCAAAAATCTCAATATATTTAGGGACAACACACTATAGCAAGAATAGCAAAAGAATCAATGTAAAACAAAATTGAGTATTTTAATTTTGTAATTAGAATATAAACACAATCGAGAAGAATGTTATGCATGCATGCATAGTAGTCAGGCATGCATGCATACATACGTACACACAGTAAAAAAGTAAATATGAAAACTACTTCATTCTCAATCATAAGACACTTTTTTAAAAAACACATAAAGAAAATACCACCTCTTAAAAGAAACTATTCAAACATGCACATACAGTACCATCATCAACACATCAATTACATACTCAAACATGAACAAATAAACAATCACCATTTCATGTGTGCACTTTTTCATTCATTCAATTCAAAATTTGTCTATCATTTTCTTTCAAAAGGAGATTCTAATATTTTAAACAACAGATTTCTCAATGATGTATTCCTGTACTTACCTCAACAGAAATATTAAAACACACTATGTGTAGTGTGTCCCTTGCACACACAAATTTACACCCACACACACATTCACACTTTAGCTTAAAATATTGTCCAATATCACAATGCATCTGCAGAATGCACATGTCCAAAGAGAGAAATACAAGGATAATAACAACAGATTGTAAGCAGCATGCAGCACAAACACCTACAAAGTAAAAGAGCCACCTACTTGCCTCCTTAGAGTAAGGTTTTGTTATAACTCAACAAAATGATTGAAAATTTCAATGTCTGATTTGTGGAGTTGTAAATTCAATGTGATGTATTATTATATTATTCTATAAAATATAGCAGTAAAAATATGTATTAAATTTAAAATTTATATCAAGGTAGTCAATATTTTAAAATTACTTACACACATTTAGGTATAACAAAAATATTTGAACACAAACTGAATAAAAAGTTCTGAGAAAGTCCACAGGTAGTAAAAGCTATAGTGTCGTGTAAGGACATAAACCATTATATTGAACACTCATTTCAGGGACAACTTCTAAATCTACAACGTTGCTACAAAATTATGAATTTGAAGCTGCTTCCATGAATACTTTAGTTAAATATATATATATGTATGCTCTATCAACACAGCCCTAACCAGATGTTCTCTCAGAACAGAAGTTGCGTTGCACAAAACTATAAACCTAATATTCTGTTTTATCAAGTACACAATATTCAAGAAAGAAAATTATACTTGAAATGGAAGCAAAGCACAGACAATCTGCCAGCACTAAGAGTACACAACACAATAGTCTCGATAAAAGAGGCTAGCAACAGTTTTCTTGCTTTGACTACAAGCTGATTAAGATATACTTTTCTGCCCTTTGTGAGGTATTCTACATTTTCAAAGTTAACTTGCTATTTGGTCCATTTTCATAGAATACTTCCTGCAACTCCATTCCATTGATTGTTACATTACTTCTTTCTCAGTCAAGGAAAATACATCATGAATATTAGCTTCAAAGCAGAAATATGAATATCTATGAAGGTGGATCAAATAACATGTGTCTCTAAATACTTCTACAAGTTAAAAATGAAAATTGCTATATAAGAACAAATCAGTACCTAAGAGTCTCTTTAACAGTAATTTTTCAGAGATAAAACTATGCTGCAATTTTAGCACTTTATATTCCTCTGTAAGTTAGAGAGAGAAATAAAAATCAAGGAAATTTTGTATGAATCTGAACATACAATGTAAAAATTCTAATTCTATTAAAGAAAAAGAAAGGGAAAAAATGTTTTACCACATTAGAGAGTATGCATTATTTGATATTTACTAGTGAACTGAGTTTAGAAGAAACTGACAGAAAATAAAGAAATGAAATATTGTAATTAAAAAATATCAGTATTAAAATCATAAATGAAATTACTGAATTACATGAATTCAATTAAAAAATAATATGTCAGAATACAACTGAGCTAATTCATTACTCAAAATTAAAATATAAAATAATATTTTCTGTGAAATAATATTATAATAAAATTATGTTAATATAAATGAATATAATTAATAAGATCTTAAATTGTAAATTTCTCACTATCTAGACGTAGATAAGTTTTTCTATTAAATTTTCTGTTTGTGAAAAAAGTTTCATGCTCTTCTCACAATCTATGTATCATATTTTTACAAGCAGCACTATTTAATCTCACAAAAAATAACTGTTCCTATTACACGAAGTTAAATAATTGAAATGTAGGAGCCCAGGAACCAAAATCTGCAATCAGAGTGGCTTCATTCTCTGTGTTTGTACAAAACAAAAGAGCATAGATTCGTTCACTGATAATTCTGCACAAATGCTAGTTAATCGTGATATTAGGACCTGATTCAGTATGTCCGAGTGTAACATTTCCAATGAGTAAACCTTACTGTAAAGAGGAAGGAGGAGTCAGTCATGAATATAAAGCTCATTCAGAACAGTCGAGTAATCAAAGACATGTTGAAAATAAAAGAAAACATTCTCCAGTTTTTAGTAAGGCCACAAAAATTTTGAAGTAACAAATTTACATTGTGCTGATGAATTAAGAAGCTCTTCAGCTTCTCGGCTAAAGCTATGAGACATCAATTCATTATCACAGCAACACACATAAACATACAACTAACATATAATTTATACAATACACACTAACACCAATGCCAAATACATATATACTGTACAACAAATATAACTTTTTGTGGCCTTCACAATGACTGGAATTGTAATAACTTTGTTTGAAAAGAATAGAGCTCAAGTTGATTGGTCAAAAATTGATGTATAAGAAAAATATTTTATATGTATATATAAATATATATAAAATACAACAAAATATAACATAAATTAAGAAAAATATAGTCCAAAGCAAGCATAAAAAGTGTAGAATTGCTTGTTTACTCGTGTAGGGTTATTGCCTCCTTGAAGTTTGTACTCCATTTCCAGCTATACTACATGGGCAAGAGAGACAAGACAGAACAGAACCTTGTCAACAATCTGCTAAGGCACTTAGCTTAATGTAATCCCCACTTTAGTTAAGTACTGATGTAATGTGCTGAATAAAAACATTCAGCATTACAGAACATGTGCCTGAACATATTAATCACTGTAGAATACGCATTTAACAGTCAATGTCAAACTTGAAATTAAAATTAATAACATCTGCAGTTGATACTTCCATATGGATTGTTCAGAGAGATTAATTTTTGCATTAAAAATACTTAACAATGTATGCAATATGATTAAAATATGTCAATTACAAAATGTATCATATAATATTATTATAATATTTAAATCACATATCAAATCATGATGCTCTTCTGTGATTTCAATAAGCATCAATTACAGACATTTTAATTTGTGATTCTTAAAAAGAACCAATCTACAGGCGGCACAACTTGAAATTCATTTGCATAGCACTGTAGCAATCAATATATTGTAATTTGCTTTTGACACCTAAATGCAGCAAAGGCAACAAAGTTTCAAAGCAGAAAATTATAGCACATTGTCCTATGAGGGGAGAAAGTAAATAACTCATTCAAATGCAAGGTAAGAAATAAATTTGTGTATTTCTTCTAAGATGCTTCATTGTTTACAAGCACAAGCTGTGGGAAAAAAGGCATTTAGAGACAACTTTACAATTAATTAAAGTGGGGATCACTTATATCCTTCATGTTTTAAACTATTATTTAGGCACTAAAATCAGATTAAAATGACAGAAAAAGAACAGTAGTTACTCTGAACTTTCCTATCAAAACACTAATGTCAGGAGGTCTTACAATTATATCTATATCACTAAGAGAATAATACAATATTTCTCACAATCAATTGCACCATGCAGACCTTCCTTCAAGTCAGATACCAATTGTAGCTACAAAATATTATGTACATATCATTCACTTCTAGTTTTCAATATTACAGAAATCTGGAAGGAAATATTATTAATCTTAACATCTTAAATAATAAGAAGATCACATGGTGCCATCAACAAAATCTTATTATTTGGTTAACTGAATGAAATACTGTTTTTGAAAATTTAATGTGATAGTTATCTTGCGAATGGATAAACTACAAAGAAAAGTGTTATATTTTTCTTGACTCTGCAGCACAATAAACATTTTATAAGGGAATAAAAGCAAGGATTAAATGTGACTCAATTCTCATACAAAGATGTGCACAAAAGTGCAATAAAAAAGAATGTGCAATTATTGATTTGAGCCAATACAAGGGGGACAGAGTTAAAATAAAAGTCATGGAAACTGTGACACAAAGGGTACCAAGAACAATATGCATTATACTCACACTGGTATCCTATATTAATAGAAACTCAAATATTTAAATCTTATTAATAAAGAACATGAAGTATACACAGAAAATATTAATTTAATCATAAATAGAAGAAAGACAGAATATTTTAAAGGGGTTACACATTGGAAATGCACTCGGAAATCTAAGTGCATTATACACAATATCATTAAACGAATACCTTCACTAGAAAGATATAGACATTTTACAGTGCAAGGTTTTTTGGAAGAAATCTGTAGATTTGGTATGTATATCATTGCTATTATGTACAATTGAATACGTATATGTTAAGAAGTATGAAGAAGAAAAAGAAAATGAAGACAGATGAGAAGAATTATATGGGCAATGGGGACATTGTATGACTAAACTACCAAAGGAAACACAGTAATGAATGTGTGTTGGTGACCTGCTTGGTACCTGAACATCTTCAAGAATGGGATACAAAAAGGACAAGCAAATAGGAAAAGAAAAGAAATTACTAGCTGATGCAACTACAAACATAAAGAAGGTGCATAGACTACTTAATGTGTGGGTGAAGTAGCAGTTATATAGGAGCCACAAATCTTGTACTTCCATTTGGCTTGTTTATTTTTGCCCCAAAGAAAATAAAATACACATACCAAAATAAACAGTATAAGAAAATAGCAATATTTTATGAAAAATCCGTAAGTTATTTTCTGTATTTTTCAATTAGAATAATATTTCTTTTATATTTTTGCTACAAGAACTCATCTATATTAAGGCAAAACTTAAGTAAACAATACAAACAATAACATAAAATAAGTTAAAGTTACTTTGATGCCAAATATGGCAACAATATTATAGGATATATTTTTGGGGATATTTAAAAATGTTCAAAAGGCATGACAGAAATATAAAAAAAAAAGATTATAATCTCAATATCATATAAAAGGATTTTTCTTGTTCCTCTGATTAGTAAATTACTTTTCTTCTACTGGTGTAGTCAGAATCCATGTTTTGAGAAACACTGATACCAAAAGAGTAGTTATATATAATTTTTTTTAAATTTAGCTATTTAACATTAAATGGATCTTGTCAAACATCAATAATGATCTAATTTAAATAAATTAATTGGTAACTCAATTACTTAAATGTAATGAAACCATAGAGTGCAGAAAGTTAACAAAAAAGGTAATAGACAATCAGAATGCTTAACAATTTCTATGTAGATAAATTGCCTAAATGTTTTTAATACCAGATGAATTACTTTGTTTAGCAAATTGGATTCTAATCACAGATTTTTTGGTGAATTTTATTATTCTTTCTACTATCTTCAGAAAAGTCAATTTTTTTACAATTTCTAATCACAGAAGCTGCAATAAAATGCTTTGGACCAGGTGGTTTGCAAGTGGTGGATTGTGATATGCTACTGAGAAGTATATATTGTAAGTATAACTTAATCAGAATTATTGCAGCAAAATCATTTATTGTTTGGAATAATTAATAATATGGTCAATAATAACTTGCATACATTTCAAATTACCAATTTCAATATCAATTCATTTCAATTATATCACAATATCAATTCATTCAACCAAAATCAATTTAATGAAACTCAGAGGAAAATTATTCTTCTTAAAGACAATAAATGAATGCAACTGATAATGGAAAGATGTTTGAAGTCTTGTGCAAAAACAGCTTTAATGAATTAAATCAATGAGTTTGAGCATGAATTACTGTTAAAAATTGGATGTTCAGACCATAAGAAGTACTAGACTTGAAAGTGTTGCTAGCCTTTAGGATTACTGAAGAAGAAACAAACAATGCAAAGGGAGAGAACAACAATCAAGCCAAGCAAGAAAAGAAACAACATCAACATTTATTTGTGTCCTTACCTTCCCATGAGCAGGTGGAGTGATAGGAGGATCCGAGTCTGTTCCCAGGGTGGGAGACAAACGCGAGTCAGGTGTGGAAGTAGGGAGACGCTGTTCCTGTACTGATGCCAATCTGTAACAGTTTTATTTTAATTAAAAAATTTATTTGAAATAGAACATAAGATTGGAGTTAACTAGTAATATTCATAGAAATGATCATAATTAATAATAAAAAATGTCACAAAAATTCTCAATACTGTTTACAACATCATAACATTTCCAAGCTACAAAACATTTATGAAATTTGAAAATAAGAAAGCAAATAAGGTTTTTAATTATATTAATTCCTTCCTAATTCCTAATTTCATTAATTGATATAATTCTAGTCTACAATCTAACTAACTTCTCTAAACTCCAAATTTAAACTTTCAATGAAACAAGTTTGGATAACTGAAATACAAGAGGTTTGTAATCAGAAATATATAAAAATCCTAGTGATATATTTTAAAGAACTGGATATAAGATGTTTCAGCTTACAAACAACTGTCAAAAAGTCAACTTCTGGGAAAATAATTTAAATTATTTTGATGAAGTAACTAAATGCATCCTAAAGCCAAAAACCGGTCAACAAGAGCAGGAGAGTCACCAGTGGTGAGATAGCTGTGTAGAATTGGAATTACTGAATCTGTTCTAAAAGTACCCCATGAAAGATGGCCTTTGTAAGTTCAAATTTTTTAGTGTACAGTCCAGACAAATTATGAAAAAAGAGAGAAATTATTTATAAAGATTTGAAACTTTGCAAAAATACTCATTGGTGAGCAGAATAAAAGAAACAGAGGAACACCCTCACTCCACAGAGGGAGAATCCCCAATCTTCAAAATGGGCAATTTTGCAATTTTTTCTTATTTTACACAGAATTATATATTTTTAAATAAAAGTGTTAATACAAAAAACAAAACAAATTCTCTTAAAATTGTGTATAAAAAAGGTAATTTACATGTTTTATGTGGAGCAAACTATTTTCAAGATATGACAATTTTAAAATCCATTGACATATATTTTGGAGTTATTTTCATTTACTTTCTTGAAAAAACGGTTCACTTCTGTTTGTCAAGTACTCAGAAATGGTTTGAGGTACAACGCAAATATTTTCAAGTTATGTATTCAAGATGTATAGAACGAGACACACAAAGTTTGATTATATTATATCTATCTATCTCCACCAACAGGGCACTGCTCCAGCCAGCACAAGCTCTAGGCCCTCTGCTGGTCTCCCAACATGTGACAGTGTAGTGGTAGGGCATGCATAATGTGTGAGTGTTAAGTGAGATGAGAGGATAAGGAAGAGGAAGGAAAGGTCACACAAGGTCAATGACCCAATTGTTAGGGTAGTGCTCTGGCAGTCACCTGGTATTAATCAACAAAATTACCATAAACAATCAATGGCTTTCAATCAAACCTTTCAATCAGAGTAGCTGACCATTAGAATTCTCCTGTGAGTAGTGGCTGAATTCAACCCAGCTATATAGATAGGGTCAAAAACCCACCACCAAACCCTAGGAGCTTCCGATCAGAGACACTGCAGAAGCAGAAGAAATGACGGCTCTGAGCTAAACTTAGCTGGTTTCAATGCAATCAGAATACAAGCTTGGAATATTAAGAGGTTGTGATTGATTCAATGAATCAATCATCTATATTCCTCTTTACTCATTGTAACTGCACATAGGGAGACAGAACAGTTTTGCTGATGATATGAAAATTTTTGTTGACACAACTAAAGATTTTGATGTTCTATAATTGATATATTTTAGATAAAAGAGTGGTCAATGCTGTATCAATTACCTCTTAACCATGATAAGTGGGAGGACCGCAGGAACTTCACTTGTATCATTAGGAATGTTATTTTGAAACCGGTAATTAGCCAAACTGACCTAGGGACCTATGACCTATTCATCACACAAAACCTGAAATGAGGACATGTTGTGACAAAGTGAGTCAAAAGCCTTCTGTATCTCACATCCTTCCTTCAGTTGACAGCCACCACTATTGGGAAAATATACAAGGTGTATACTAGACCTAGTCTTGAATAGGCCAGCATTACATGGGCCCCCTATTTGAAGAAAGATGTGGCAAATATTGAAAAAATTCAAAGAAAGTTCATATAGATACCTACTGCACTCTGTTGACTCACATATCCTGAGAAATGTTCTGATCTATCCTACACTCAAGAATAAGTAGGAATGATACTGTCAAAACATTGCAGGGCCTGAATGGCATATACTAAACCTTAAATGGATTTTTGTCAGAGCCAATGACAGCAGACTTTGAGGACACCATTTGATACTTCAAAAGGAGAATACAAGGACTGGAGTTCATCCCCAACCCCATGATTGTCAGATGTTGAAACTGTCTCTAGCATGAGTGTGTTTCAGACAGGACAGTTGAGTCCTTCAAGGAAAGGATGGGTTGTATTAATTCTGAATGTAGGGAAACCATTATTCAATTGGATGAAGCATAATACCAATTGTGATAAGGTTATTATTAAAATCGAGAGAGGATGTGTATGATGTGATTTATTTGGAGATGTCAATAATACTAGTGCTCTATAATTATATTGTGTTTAGATATAGTTCCACTTCCATATCTATTTATTTCTGCCTTTATTTTATGAAATATACTGGAAAAAAATGAAGAATAGTCTAGTTCAGTTGAGGCTTCTTTTACAGGAAATTTTATTTCACAGGTTTTCACAAACACTTGTAATTCAGATCGTTTATCAATTTGCACTTTCTTAAACATCTGAGTTTCAGTATTGTATAAGACAAAGTAATTTCTTAATTACTATCTCGTTCGAGAACTGGGGAGTCATTTTGTAGATGGAGATATAGGTCGAAGATTTAGCCTCGTCAGTTACGATTCATGTTCTTGCATTGCCTTTCCCTGTCATGAAACTTGTAAATGTTAACATTAAAATGAGCTGCAAAGATGACAAAAATATTACATGTACAGACATCTTTAATACTTGAACGATTGTAATTGTGATTCTGATGTGCCTCAATAAATATTATTACTTAATTATACAAAGAACACATAGATAACTGGAAAAGTCAGAAGTCTGATTACGACTGTTGGCTCAAAATGCTTTCATAAAAATGAATAAACTGGGTGATTTAAAAGATTTTTGATAATATGGTATAAATGATAATTTGATATTATGGGATTAGCAGATTCCACTAAATGGTAGTAATTGTTGATTATTTGTGAAGTAGAATGACTGAGATGATAAGAAACTGGCAAACTCCTTTCCAAATAGCTACTTGCATTATTGACACTATCATTTTTTATTCTTTACTCATTACAGACAGTAATTTTACCCACTCATGAGGTTAATTGCTTCATGATGCTATTGATAAACGGCTTTTCTCATCAGTGCTGACATTTCAGATATGTTGGAAGTTTTCAGAGCCAGACAATTTCTCAGAACTTTTTTCTGAATGACCCTCCTAAGAAAGAAGGGAAACAATCTTGTAGGGGAAATAAGTGAGAGAAATCATTGAGGTAGTTTTGTAAGAAGAAAAGCAAAAAATACATGTAACTGAGAATGATGTGTTTGCATCAAGAGTAATTTCTGATTTAAATATACACATGATAACTACTTCATCTTGTGTATCATTCATGAAATTACTTTTATCTGTGGAAAATTATCTTATCTTAGTATAACACACTACCCCCTCACCCACACCACCCTGAATACCTAGACCAACTTCAAAGAGTTGTTGAGACACACAAATGTTCAAATATTTCTCTACTATCTACTCTACCCTAGTTCATTTATCTCAATAAATTTTACATAACCAATGTTTTCATAAACAAAAACATTAGTGTTGAAAAAACTATATTTTGTTTATGCATCATTGTTAATAAAGACTCAGGTCCATCCTCATCTTCAAATCACACATTGACTTTTCAATGAGAAGGAGCAGAATCTAGAAATGGTCTCTGAAATTCTTCAAGAATTTCAAATGGTCTCTTTAATTCAACTAGAATTTTAAGCTCAAAAACTACTTTGTTCATTAGTTCAACAGATAACAAAAGGTTAATAATAATTGTCATTACACAGAAGTTGTGACAATGAAAGATACTAGTAACACTGATATTAAACAAAACACTTTTTCCCATGACAATACCAGGAACTAACAGAGCCATTTCTTGAAATTCAGTAAATTAAGTAAAAATATTATTAATGTATAACCTACATACGATTAAGTCAACAGATGTAATAAATTCCACTTGCATCAGATACCTTTTCAGCGTCACTAAAGTTCCAGTTAACTTCTTACAGCGCCGCAATGCACTTTCCAATCTCTCAGGCTCCTCCTTCAAGAACCTGCAAAATATTTAAACTTTAACTTGGTAATGATATAACCTATATCTCTCTTTCACAGTCTCAGAATTAATTGACGATTCATTAATTCTTGATACAAGTATCAAGCCGCAACAAATCAATAATTTGCAATAATTAATAAAAAATCAATTTGTGAAAATAATGGGCACCTGACAAGTGCAAAATACAAATTCAGTAGAGAAATGTTCATATTATATTACAAAAAAGGCAATCCCAATACTCATACCAAGCTAATACTTACTTCTCTTCACGAACCACTTTCTCCATTTCTGATGACAAAAGACTTTTCATTCCTTCTTGTAAACTGGGGAATCGAACCTTCAAGTCAGCAACAGTTTTACTGAAAAATAAAAATGGCAGGAATTAACACACAAACCAGAGACAATTATGTTAACAAGTTCGCTTGCCATTTCATCATTTAAATTATAATTTACTCTATAATTTGTTCAAAGGGGGCACTGGGGTAAGATTGTGAAAATGGCCTCATAGGTAAACATTTTTCTGATCTGATCAACTTGTTTAGAATAAAAATATTTAGACTATTTTCATCTTCCCTTTAACATTACCTTCGACCTTTAGAACAAAAAAGTTATTTTTGCTCTACACTGATTATTTTTTTACAGGAAAATAATATTATTAATAGTACAACATAACGCCATTATTCTTTAAATGCTTCAGTGAGTCTTCATGAACTTTTTCTGAATTTTTCCAAGCATTCTTAACCTCAACATTTCCATTAGAAATTAAAAATACCTTAAAAACGGGATAAAAATGGAAAAATCATAATATTTAACAAAGATAAAACAAACTCCTGTTAGGTTTGTATCAATTTCCAATTCCCATGTTTATTTAGTTATTTGCACCTAACAGGTCAAAAAAACAAATTCTATTTTTTTCATTGCATCATGTTTACAATTTATAAGCTTTCAAATTACTGAAAATAAATTTATAACACAATATCCAAATGTTGAGAAAGTCTAAAAATTTTATTACAGTGTTATAAAGTTAAAATATTGAATGGTGTATACATATCATAACTGTTAAATTAGATTTTAATAGTATGTAAGCTTAAAAATATTACCACTTAATGTTAAAAAAACAACCTTTTAAAACAAATATTAGATTATTTTTGTGTAATAGCAATATAAAATGTTTGTAAAAAGTATTGTTAATGCTATATACCTTCAAATTATATTTGTACAGTATTGGGTACTAGATAATTAGAAATATTTTCAGAAATATTTGAATTTCTTGCAACTATCACCTGTCAGGTTATTCAAACTTGTATCTCCCAGTTAGCTGAGTAACAGAACTACCTGGCCTCACTGATATTATGATTATATCATTTTAAAAAGTATAAACCATTTCAGAAATAAAGTGTTCAAACACATCCTTGAGAAGGCTTTCGCACCCCTCACACCCCGTTCCTTTCATATCTTGTCCTTCCTGCCGCTAGCCCGGGCAGTGAAGGTGCTTGTATATGAAACAAAAACCCATTATGTATGGGACTTATGCCCTCTAACACCACAGTTGTGTTTGTGGCTTCAAATACATATCTAGAATTTCCTGTACCTTAATCCTACTCTTATTCCTTGCCCAAAACAGTAAATGTCTGAATAATCTGAGTCCAATCTCTCTGTCTACATGAGTGAGGTACTGTCTCCCCACAAGCCACAAGAATGGCACAAGCACCAAGATGGGATCATAGACTATCTCAGGCACAAATGTAAAGGTGCCGGACAGAGACAGGTTGAGGGCTACCTCAGTATCAGGATCAGAGAGTGTGAGGGGTCACTTCAATGGGAAGACTTCTCAGGGAAGTGGCAGAGATTGCAAGAGCCCCTGCTAGGTCATGAATTTATTTTAAGTCATCTTAAATTGTCAATATGTTGTAAATGAGAATCAGTGGAAAAAATACAGATTTTTTTACTGGGTGGGTGCAAAGAACTGTTTAAATAAATAAACAACATATTTTGGGGTCTCCTAATACCAAAAAAGGTTTTGTTTTTTTTATTAAAACATGTCTATCTGTAAACAATTCTAGAGCTTAAACTATACAAAAGATTTTTTGAAAAGTGCACATTCTCCAATTGATATTGCCTGACTCACATAACCCTGTGATTTTGAAAATAATTCTTTGAATTTTGGGAGTACTTTATATAAAGCCCTAGGGATATTTTCAAGATTTTCTAAAAATGGCTCCATATTTTATCTTTAAGTTTCTTGTAAAAATAGAGTGAAATACATTTTTTTAAGATGCATAAGTCTAATATTCACTGTTAACTAAATTTTTACAAACTTCAATAGTTTCCAATTTTTTGGCCCCCCTCGTACAACAACATTATTGTGGACAGATATTTCCTTCAAATGAAATTGGTTTTCCACAATTAGTTCTTTAATTAGAGGTAGGTGCATTGTTTTGTGTAATTTTTCTGTGTAATTTTGAGTGTAATATGAGCAATAAAGAAAACAAAATTCTCTCAAAACTGTCTCCAATAAAAAAAAACAAACCTTTTTGTATGCTTAGGACTAAATGTACTGAATAACATGGCATAAACATTATTTCGATATTTTCCTTTGGTTTTTCAAAAACTACACAGAAGTAAAGTTTTTGAAATATCTTTCACAATGTTAATATTAACAGTATGGGTGTTTTTTATGCTTTATTGGATAAGTGAGTACAATTGCTTCAAATGATTTTGTATAAAGTTTATCAAAAAACTCATAAGTTTTCTATGAAAATGAGGTATTACTCCTCTTTAATAGTCTTAAATTCATATTTCAATTCTACTATTAGGGGACCAAAAAAATTGACAAAATGTGCAAAAATGTCTTAGACAAGTAGCAGCTGGAGAGAGGGAGTGGCAAAACGAAATAGCTAGCCCACACTAAAGACATTAGAAAACCAACAAGTACTAGAAAGTCTGTGCCATTTTGTAGCACCACTAGTTTATTGTCCGGAACACGTTTGTCAGTACAGAAAAGTGTTAATCCCTCTCACTGTCTGCTATCTCTTGAACTCATCCAAGCCCTTTTTTGTATCTCCTTACTTTTTCTCATAGATATGATAGAATAAATAAGTGTACATAAGCTTCTTTAAACTTACCTTGATTTACTAAGAATCAAAGCCATGTTTTCCACATCTGACATGTTAACACGAGTTTTTCGATTTATAACATTTCCTCGCAGTTCTTCAACAGTACTTTCTAGCTCCCTGTGCACAAAAATTAATATAAAATTTCAGTAAAGTGTGTTTATTATAATGAAATCCTTCCTTTACTTATTGAAGGTGGTTACTCAATATTTTGAACCAATTAAATTATTCTCACTAAAATATTTAATTCTGATTTATCAGCTGTAGATAATTACATTTATACAGGTCAGTTATTTCAGAATTGTTATTTTGAGGAAACTGTTTTAGTCAAAAGTTTTTTCTAATCATATTTCCTTTCTTAGATGCACTATTATATATGCTAGAGATAGTCCATAAAATAAGTAATGCATTTTGTCATTGCAAACTAATTATGAAAACATGCAGTTTACAACTAACACTTTAATTTGATGTCAAACATGACATTGTATTCTTTGCAACTGCAAAAGACAATGTGATCACCAAAATAAGGATAATTCCAAGAAGAGAATACATTTAATAATTTATTGGGCAAACACTCACGTCAAATCTTTCTCAAGACGTAACATTTCTTGTTTGTAGGCATCTTCTTCTCGACTCAGACGTAATTTTTCAGCATCACCTCCAGCTGCCCAAGCTTCTTCACCTCCCAGTAATAACATTGTTCTGTAAACGAGTTATAAAGTAATCCATCTTGACAACAGCTAGACTGTCTTTAATGTAATTTATTATACGGATTACATGGATCTAGTTATTCCTCAGAAATTTAAAACTATTTTATCATCACACTAAGTACACATATTTATTTTATTTTCAAGCACGCTGGGCAAGGTCTAAAATACAAGATAAAGAAGAAACTCTGCACATTCCAACAAAATTATTATTAGTAGTAGATATTTTATTAAAATAAATATAAATTATTGATAGAAGAATCAGAAAATTCTTTTGACAGTCTCTTGATAAAGTTCTTTTGACAGTCAGAAAAAATGTTAACATCAAAAGAAATAAAGAACAAATAACACAACTGAAGTGTAATGAAAATATATTAATGATCTATAGAAGGCATTATGTATACTTCCAGGCACATATCTATGGTGCAAAAAGATTATGCCCACAGTTCCATCTATTTTTAACACTGTAATTAATTTGAGAGTCAGTTTTAAAAATGATTACCTAATTTTAATGAATGTATCTCGTATCGTCTCACGCACAGTGTGTGCCTGTGCTTGTGACATCCTTCGCAAGTTGCGCACTTCCTGTCTCAGATCTTTTGCTTTCTTCTGCAACCCTCGCAGCTGATTGTACATCTCAGGGGTTAAATGTAGGTCTGAAAATTCAGGAAAAGATAAAAAAATGATTAAAAATACAGTGACTAATGAATTGTGGCCTAGAAATGCAAGCTTCTTTTAACTGCTTGCTCACCTCGATAAACATGCCTGCCTTCATATTGCCCTGGAGACAGAGACACCGGCTTAGGAGGGGGAGCTGGTTTGTGGCGATCACGCTCGGTGCGTTCTGCCAACACGACAAGACCAAACAGTAGATCCCTATCTTTCATTGCTGCATTCTAACTGGCATAAGGAAGTGTTTTATTTCTGAATCACACAAATATGGTCTTAATGTAGTTCCAAGAAAAATAAAAGATTGTGGCAAAGATGTCTAGATAGGGAAAGCAAGCGAGCATGCGGTAATTTGCAGGACAGAGACGCATGAAAAGCTGTTATGTCACTGCCTCTTCATGTCACTTTGTGCCCAATTGGGCGCAGGGGCAATTGCTTGTGGGGCTCCATTTCTAATTTTGTATGACTGCTTTAGTCTTGCAATAAGTATCATGGGTGTATCTGTGAATATTGCAAATTATAGTTAAATTAGTTCTTTCTTAAAAAAATATTTTTATGCATATTAACTTTGAGGATACTAAAATATTCCAGTAAAATAACTGGGATCTTAATAGTGATTATAGATAAAAAACTGTTATTTTTAGTACTTCTAACAACCCATGACCAAGCAATGCAGTTAATAAAACATGAATGGGGAGCCCTCACAAAGGGCATGATGTGTACATACAGTTACCTTGAGATGACATTCTAGGTAGAGTCGATGATTTGATTGCTGGCTTAGTGGGCTTGCTGTCCGCTGAGGAAAGCATTGGGAAGATAAAGGGGAACTACAGTTAGTAACAGTGTGAACCTGGCAACCCCTCTACCATCTGGTACAAAGCAAACTAAACCTATGTAGGAGCACATACCCGTATGTTGAGGAGAATGTTGTTTTGGAGAATTCATATCAGGAGGCTCATCAGAAAATGACACTGATTTCTCAAATGATACTGACTTGTCTGCAAAGAAATGAATAAATATTAATCATAAAAATACAATAATTGAACTGGAATAGAACTAAAATAATCTCAATAAACTCAATACATTGAAATCACACACATAAATATGAAAAATATTCAGATAAAAGAAATATGTGAATCAAAAAGGACAACATTCAAAGCAAGCCAAGTATATGTAAACACGAAAACTTCAATTTTTTTTTTTCAATACATGGAAATTCTGATATCATATTATACTTGGCACTATCTTTCAAATAGCATTCTTAGAATTTAATGTTTCAGCTAAAATTGTAAATACACAACAATGTTAAAACACTGAAACATTGTACATATCCCAAAATATCAGTTTCACTACATTGAACCATTTTAATTTGATTAATGCTGTTTACTACACAAAGAAAAAATTAGAAAGAAAATTTAATCAAGACAAACATTTCATGCACTTTAATATTCACTGAGGTGTTGGAAATCAGCCATTAACATTAAAATCAATCAATGACAGATAACATGAATATTAAATTAAATAAAAAAAAAGAAAAGAAAAAAGAAAGCGTACTGAGTTGTAGAACTAGCACATTAATTGGCTTAATAAATTATCTTACAGTGACAAATGCTTGGTTAAAGGTTATGATGCAATTAACTAAGAGATTATAAAGAGGAAAATGGCATTTTCCACTAATTTGTCACTTCACAATATGTCTTAAATGAAATAGTAATTGAAAAATGCAAGATACAAATTGTTATATGGTACATAAAATTACATGCAATAATGCAAAATTAGGCCTATCATGTATACACAATTATAAAATGTAATGATGAACATATTTTCTCTAAGAACATAACATGCATTTATTAAGCAGTATGGATGACAATCATGAATATAAGACTAAAATATTTTACAGAAACCTTTTAGTCATAATGAAACACATACACATAAAATACAACTGTTTTGTTCCTTCTATTCTTTCTACATGCTAAAGACACTGAGGCAAAAGCACATGCAAATACAGCACATGTATTAACAAACAAATCATACTCAATAAACAATGTATTATTTAATTTATCCACAGCTCAATGCACAATGCATAGGATCACACGCAAAAACAACAGTACTGCTGTAAGGCTAACCTTTGCCTAATTTTGGAGGTTTGGTGTCTGTCCTTAAATACGTATCATCTGCAATACAGAATGTAAAATATGATTTGCAACTGCAGATGGAAGAGTCATTGCAAAATTATTGCAATTTGATGGTAGATTAAGCAATTAATATGTAACTTAAACAAAGGAGTAGTCAGATCATAATATGTTATTCGTATGTAATACAATGAATCTTTAGAAAAGAATGAAAAAATTTCCAATTATAATAAAAGCATTGTACATAATATACTATCCAGTAAGAAAAATTGAACAAAATTAAAGATATTCAAGAATTTTTTCTTATATGTAGTAACCGAAAGTAAATGAAATTAACAAAGAGTATGAACATGTACATAATAAAAAATATACTTTAACAGGTATTGAAGAAGGTAGGTAAAAGTAGTTTATGGAAGTAGGCTGCTCTGAAGTAACTCGAAACTTGAAGTGCTACTGTGAGCTCCTAACCCATAGAATAAACTTTGAGAAATATTTGAGCTACTAAAGTAGAACTTCTAGATTTGAAATTACAGAAAGCACAAATCTTTTAATTTCAAATATTTAAAAAAAATGTTTCTAAGGTTGTGCATCTTGACTGGGATAATTAAACCACAGATAGGCACTTCAAGCACTTGTGCATCAGCACAGTCTGAAGTATTAGTAAGTTTAGAACAATAAGGGAACGCTGCTTGAATGTGAAGCAGAGTGGCATAGCAGAGAACCCACCTGGCAGAGAGGCTGAGCTGGAGCTGGAATGCTTGTCGTACTCATCCACGGCTGCGGGGCAACACAAGAGCAGACACGACACACTTATTACAGGGACACTTCACAAGTCAGGGTGACAGTGGCACAAGACTCCATAGTCAACTGGAGAGTTAGCTTTGATTGTGTTAGTGGAGGCAGTGACATACAGAGCACAGGAAAACACAATATGACATTCACATAGCCTACTGCAAGCACCATTTGTAACCATTTCTGTCACTTGCCTTCAAAAAAAGATAACTTTATAGGGGATTGATTGTTTATAAAGAAATGGGAAATAATGCTCAACTTGAAAAACAAATTCTCAATGAAAATACAAAAATATTTATAAGGATTTGTAAACATATAATGATTGCAAATGGTCATATTTATACGAAGTGCACCCACAAGCTATAGCCTATGCTTCTTACTTCACAGAACATAACATTCATATACTCGTGTAGAAATACTTACATACAAAATTCCATGCAACATCTCGAATCTTCATGAAGCCACCACAGATGTTACTTGATCACAACTTACTCAAATGAAACCTACTTAATATAGCATAATTTAGGAGACTGCTTTATGTCTCATTATATCAATTTATAATAACATGCCAATAGCCTGTATAGATCATATGGTACATGTATATAACTAACAATAACACAATAAGTTTCTACTCTTAAGAACATAATTACAGTAAATACTAAATCTACATAGTGAAAAAAATGTTACTACCTAGTTTTAAAACAATGTGCTTTCTTATGCTCACATTATTACTACATACATTTTTTTTTCAGTTAGAATTCTGGAAGTTATAAGGTCAAAGGAAAGATTTGAATAAATTTTTTGGGGAGGAAATAATATTTTATCTGTGCTCAAATTAACTACGGTGCATGAATTCATTAATACTCATGCAAAAAGCATTCAAAAACTAAGCTAAAATGTTTAAAGACTAAGATACATTTTAGAGATCACTTCTATAAATAATTAAGTGTTGAGAACCTGAAAAATAAGGATATAATTAATCAAACAATTACAGTATGTTTAATACCTAAACCAACAAATAAAAAGAATGACCAAAATTGGAATGACAGTTATATTTAATTTTACTTAAAAATTATTTAGTCTCTGCAAGTGGTCTTTGAAAGAAACACAGACCAGCTTGTGGGAACACTGGATAACAGGGGTTAATGACTGTGGTGCCTCATGCAAGGAAATCAGAAAGGCAGGAACGTTGACTAAGCAAATTAGGAAACCTTTGTTAATGTGACATTTAGAGCATCCAAAAAAAAATCACACTTTACCATTGCGATAATTAGCATCCCTTGAGGCAGGTGGGACTTGAAGGTACTCCCTGGGTGTAGGAGTTTGTGTTAATGCTTTTTGCACAAGTCCAGTCAGATTAGCTAGTTGACGTTCCATGTTTTCCACACGCAACCTGTCCAAACATCATATTTTCAAAATATGCATTTTTATTTAACAAAATAAAGTAATTAAAGAAATATTTTACAAAACTTGTAATAATAAGTTCAATTCATTACAAAACACACAAATACAAACTTAAAAGAAAGGAAAACAACAAGAATTTAACTTTCTTAGCTAACTACCAAAACAGTCTTCTTTATAAATTGATGAATTACATCTATTTATGCTATTGTTTCAAGAAAGATACATTTAATTATTACATATCTCAGTTAAGTATGAAAAACCTAAATTTTCATACAAAATAATTGTTCAACAGCTAAAACAAGTTGAAGTTGACTAAAATTACAATTACATTAAACAATTTTTTTATAGCTAGTTTGTGTCAGGTTTTGGTAAAATTTTACTAATACTAAAAGAAAGACTGCCAATAGTTGCTAATGACCTTGCACTTAATGTGACCTTAAATAGGGGAGGGGGGAGGAAGAGAGAAAGAAACTATCCAGTTTATTTAATAATTCTTTACAAATATCAATAAAATAATGAGAATTATTATGAGGCAGTTATGAAAATATAATTACAAATTCTAGACCAAACCTCATGTTTGTAGCTCGGAGAAAGGCTAAATAAAAGCTGTAATGTTGCCAATTTAAAAAAAAATATATATTACCTACACTCAAGGTATACACTAATAGATTATGATTTTGTTTTTCAAAAGAAGTTGATTTTTATTTTCTTGAATGACCATGAACAAATAAAACCTTTCTGCAAACTTTTGAAGGCACACAAACCTCCCTTCAAATGTTATAAATGCATTTTAAAATATTAAAAAATTGTGAACATTATCAGGAGAAACTTGAAAAGTGAAAGAAAGACAACGAAGAAACTAAAGAAAGAATAAAAAAGAAGTAAGGAAAGAAAGAAGAAAAGAAAGAAAGAAAAAAGGAAAGAAAGAAAGATGGAAAGAAAAAAAGAAAGGAAGAAAGAAAGAAAAAAGTAAGAAATAAATAACTGGAGAAAGGGAGAACAGGGAGACAAGATTAGAGTGAGGCTGATAATGAAATACAGAAATGGCAATGACAAGAAGGAAATGTGATAACAGAGATGTGGTAAACTCAAAATGCAATCATGTGTCTCCAGTATCTTTTTGATTTTTGGATTTATCCTCTACAAGTAATGAATTCCATAAAATGTAAGCAGATTTTAAAATCTTTGAAACACATTTCTTTTTGGGAGCTTATTTGCATTATGAACTTTGAAAACTTTCTCAAAATAACAAATATCATAAAAGTATAAATACTAATATTTAACGATGAAGATAATATGTTATCTTGTGGAACATTTAAAAAAATAATATATGTGTGTTTTCTCAGAGGATATTATAGCCATGAGGAATGGTAATTTCCAGTTCTGCTTTCTCTGTCATACTTAGTCTTCTGATTTATCTAATTTTTGTTAAATGTTTTACCATTAAAAACATATCACAAGAGGGGTGTAATATATTTTTTACAATAGACTATTTTTACATGAATATTTTACATTGTTTCTATTTGGTAAAATGTAGAATATTACAATCAATAAGTTGTAATATTCATTCTTTCTTGGAGTTGAAACTATTTCTTGGTTAGCTTGTACTTTTTAACCACATGTAATAAAGAAGTTTTATAAATAAGAAGTAAAAAACTGAGAAATATCAGAAAATGAATAATAATAATAATAATATTAAAAAACAATTCAATATGATGTTATTGTTAAGAAATCTGAAATACATATTTTTAAGAAACATATCTTGAAATTTGAATCATAGATATCAGAGAGTAACTTTGAAACTAAGATCAGTTTATAGTTAAAGTTTCTTCTATGGAACATAACACTACTTTTATGACGTATGAATATATGTGAAAAATGAATTCATACATACAGTCCACTCACACCAAATGCATTTTGCATTACAATACTTAGTTATTGTTTTTATTAATACTCATTTAATTTTACCCATTAATACTCTAAAATTGTGTTTTAAATAAAGAGATGTTGGATACTTGTATTGCCAATATAAATGATTATGATCCTTGATCTGCTTCAGTGAAATTGGAATATAATATGTAAAACTCTGATTATATTATTTAATGCACTTCCATATTTACTAAACACACTAAAATTTTTGAGTAGTGACTATTCTTAACAATACATTTATGTACATACATTGCCAATACTATAATTGAAAAGAAGACATTTATTTTAGAATTATTATTTTTTTATTTAGAAGAATATATCTAAACATTTTACTGGATAAGTGTTTTTGAGTAGGTTTTCACGCACAAATAAAAGTGACTTTATTTACCTTAATATAATGTGCAATTAAGGTAGAAATTATAGAAATAGAGATAATTTAAACATTAATATGAACAATTTTTATATTAATATATTATTCTCAAGATAATACAAGATAATGTTTATTTGGTAACTACACAATACTATTATTAAATAATCAATTGAACCCTTTATATTTTTCTCTTGTTATTTACACCATGATTCTGCATATACTAATTATATAATCCTGTACTTGTGCACATACAAAATAATTGAAATTGAAATACATGTTCTGTCAATGGCTGCATTCGCACAATACTAACTGAAATGGTTCCGCTACCAAATGTTAAAAGCATGATTTGTGAGTAAAAGCAAAGGAAAAATGAGAAAACGTGTTTTTTTATGAAATGTGATTAGTGACAAGCTGTATTTGACACAACCACACAAAATGTGAATGCTAGTGACAAATTACATTAATAAGAAAAGGAAATTCATGATAATATTCATTTTAACCTACATGATTAAGTACTTACACACTCCCAATCTGCTCATCTGCTTTTAAAGACACATACAAAATGCAAAAAAACACTTTATCATTCACTAGATAATATGCTAATAAATATGTTATAAAACAAAGACAGTATCAGATTTATAGAACATTACACATCTCAGATAACAGTCACTAATTAAAATTTGCCACATCAGCAAAACCTTTAGGAGGGTTGGTAGCTATTAAGAAAGCAGAAGGTTATAACAGTGAAATAAGACTTTCTACAAGCATACCGGGTGGCGTCGTATGGCTGTGGTGCTGGGAACTGGCCACGGGGGGGCTGAGGCGCCAGGGGACGCAGCTTGACTCCATAGAGACTGTACTGCTCATCCATCAGCTCGGTGTCGCTGCACAGACACACAAGGTGGCAGCAGGGAGTTAACTGCCAGGACTACCCTCCCATTGGAAATCATTGACATGATGATTCAATTTAGAAGTTTCTATCTTTCAAATTTGGGAAAAAGAGAAAAATTGTAGGGGGCTCCCAAAGTGTGTTTAAACTTCGGTAAATTCTCCCTCATCATAAATTTGATTTGGTTCTTTTCCAATCAATTTTTGAAAATGTATAACATATATCAATAATTGAAAAATAAAATTTTTATAATTTCTAAAGATTGCCAAAACAGATGTTCAAATAGGTTACATGTTAGTAGCATGCAAGACAGGAAATTGCGAACTAAAATAAGGGCCAAAACACCACAGAAACTCTAGAAATAAGGTTAAGGTAAGTTCTGTTCACTGCCTATGTAAGCACACAATGTATGTGTTTCAAAGAGCAAAATTTACGAATATGATTTTAAAATTTGTGTCAGTGTACTTCTATTAAATTGAACTCTGGTAACTGCAGTTCAATTTACACATTGCTTAATCACAAATTTTAAGGGAATGCATTAAATTCAATGCAGTGGAAGGAATGGTGATGGCTGTAGGTGCAGAATCAGATGGTCATTATTTTGACAAGTCACAAAATATATAAACACGATATAAGGCATTGTGAGGCATTGTGACAGCATTAGGAAGTGTTTTGTGCAGTATCTATTCAGAACAAATATTAAATTATGAACTCATTATTGCTCATGAAATTATAAAATAAAAGAATAAATCTGTGAACATCAAATATTTACTATTATAGTACATTGTATGGTTATAATAAAAATAATAAAACTTACTCCAACCTTCCAGAAGAACTGTTCCATAACAGTTTTTAAAATTGCAGTATGCCAACTGCACAGCTTTCAAAGACTGAATTCATTAAATTTAAAAACGAATCGTGATACCATATTAATTAGTATTTTGTCTTGCCACAGACCAACATAGTATGATAACTTTTTTCACAGACTACCATCAAAATTTAATTTCAATGGAACAAGCATAAAAGTAGGGAATAACATCACATAGCTTAATGCCTAAAAAAGGTAATCAGTGATTATACTAAAATAATGAACATGTAACTTATTTTTAAAATCAATCAATAAATCAATAAAAAACAATACATTATAATCAATATTTTACCTTAACTTAATTTTCATTTTCATTAATTATATCCAATATCACTGAAGCACAAGTATAACCCTGAATTCAGATTCAAATATCCTAATGTCATTCTACAAAAAGTACTATTTGAATAACAATATTTCTGAATATTATGATTTCATCAGGATCAAGTTAATAATGATAATGCTACTTTCAGCTGTAATGCTAGTGAACATGTATTTGCAGGATATGAAGAGTTCATCTTGATATCCCACAATTTTCTTGCAAACTTTTAGCTTTTATTTAATGATTACTGGAATCTTTCAATGTTTTCTTCAGAGTCTAATTAGTGTGATGTCTGAATCCTGCAATCCCCAACTCTTGCTACATTGTTGAGTCTAGCAGGGTTGCTTTAACTTTCCTTATTTCCAGATTGTAGTAGAGCGTAAATATGTAATGTAAATACAATTTTTACTACTTACAATTACACTTTATTTTTTACTCCGAAATTACACTTAATTATTACATATTAGAACTACACTCAAATATTTGTGTTCTATTCATGTGATTCATTGGAAAATTTCCTTGAAACCATTTTAATTCCAGACAAGTAATAAAATATTTCACAATTCTGTGAAAAGAGAGCTAAATAAGTATAATTTTCTTTAAGATCTTCTTCATCCTCATTAGTATAAACTACAAATTACATTACATAATAAAATACTTTTTTATAAACAAGATCATTTAGAATCAAAAGTAAATTGGAAACTGTAGAATACACTAGCACTATGTGGTCTCTTCATCATTTTTCAAAATTATTGAAAGACTTAATGCACAGGGGACATAGAAAAGCAATAAAAATTACGTGTTTCTGAAAAGGATCTTGGTTACAAGTTATAGACAAGGATAGTGAGTTAAAAAATTAGGCAAAAAATGTTGACCCATGACCAAAGAAAGAAGGAATACAGAAACAAGAAGAAAATATAAAAATAAAGAAAGAATCATGAACATGTTTATTCACCTGTGTTCATTTTCATTTTCTCAAATGGTATTGTTTATTTATTTTTCTTGTTTCATCAATTTCAACTTTTTGCTTTTATGATAAGAGGAAGTAATGAAGACAACAATAAATTATTAATTCTCTCACTTTTATTAAATTCAGCAATTCAAGGAATAAATTTAAACAAAGTTGTAGAAACTTTTTAATCCATAAATGATAAGAACATTTGCTCTTATGTTTAACTCTAATATAACATATCTAGAAACATTATTCCTCCAATTAATTTTAATAATAAACTACCATTATTTAGCTCACTTAGCCACTTTCACAACAAGGAATTATGACAGTTCAATGCCAATTCATTCACTGTATATTGTTGTTTCTGATATGACAAAAATAAAATTACATGAGTAAAAAGAGTCTTTTTTAAACCAATTTTTTCCACAGAATAGCTGGAATTTTCTTGGAATGTTACTAAACTAATATAAAATAAAATGATAATTATTATACTCTTCCATTAAAAACATGTAATTGTTTTTAGACTCCCGCTAATAAAAGCAGTTACTTTTAGGGGATGCACAGCTTACTAAATATTAAATTTGTAGCACTAGTGATAAAAGTGAAATGATTTTCAAATGTTTAGATATAACTGCTAATGCAACAAAGGAAAGAAAATACTTTTATTTGATGAGCTACAACTGAACTTATTGTAACATGGTACCTAATTAAGTGATTTGTATACTTGAATTAAAATAAAAAGAAAGTCATAAGGCTGTCTAAAAAATAGTGCATGTCACACAAGGTAAAATTGATTTCATTTTGCTTGAAGGGTTGTCACTCAGACTATCAGCCTCATGCAGCAGTATTTTCTATTCACAAAATAAAATGTCACTTTTACTGCTCATATTCTAAATAACTATTACAGCACATTCTTTCTTTTTTATATTGTTCTTTGTACTCTATTTGGTAATGTAATAATATTGTATTTACTTCATGCTACAGAGCCCAGGATAACTTAACACTAACTAGCTTGCCTTTAGATTATATTCCAGGTTTACTTTCTACAAAAAAGGCTCTTTGCTTTACTTGTTGTGTTGTGTTGACTTGGCAAGTGACTGCAATAGGGGAACTTCCAGAATTAAATTATTGCAAAATTTAACAGTGCAAACTAACACAGAGATGGAAAATCCATTGTGAAAGTTGCCTACTGAATTAAATGTGACTATGGATTTTCATATGGGTTGTATGTCAGACTGTTAGGGTAAGTTAAAAAAAAAATATTTATTTAAATTCACAGGATCGTAAGTTGAGCCTTATCAACAGTAGAATAATAATTTTAAAAAATTCAATATACGAAGATAGTACAGAAACTATTTTTGTTCACACACATGTCAAAAAGACTTCTTAAATCAACAACAATAAAACAACAGCAAAATGTCTTTGGTATTGGACTGCCAAAATATGTACTGCTGGCAAAATCTTAAGATAATTTTGTGCACAATTCATTACTGTCTCTTTTTCTACATATGGTACAATTAAAACGCAAGTCTGTGATCAAATCACAGTTTAAAGTCATTGTGAAAAATGCTTTCTTGTTGCTAAAATGTAGACTAAATTATTTTTTGTCTTCCAAACTTTATCTGAAATGAATTGAACTGCTCATGTCAACTTGAACTGTGACTTATGACTGAGCTATTTTTCCACAGGCCTCATTAAGATTTATCAATTAACCTGATAAGGTTGATACAAATGGCATAGTTAAAAATAGAAAAGGGCTATGAAGAAATTTCTGTCAGATAAATACATTAATATTCAAATCATTCAAAGCATTAGTTTGTTCATCTGGGAATCCAAGATGAGTCTCCTTGTGTACCTCATTTTCTTTTATCACTAAGCAACAGAGGTGACCAGTACTTTGAATGGTTTTATAGGCCTGCTGTATAAAAAAAATTAATTTATTTTCCATACCTGGCTTCCTCATCAATGACTGGTGTGATTGATCCAGAGCGTGAGGCATATTGGCTATAGTATGGATCCTCATATCCCGGAGCACCAGATGTGTATGGAGCTGGATATGCTCGAGGCCCACCTCTCTCAGGGGAAGACATGTATCCGCTTTCTGAATGCAAACGATCTGCAGGTATAATTTGAACCACATTTTTAATTCATGAAAATAAAAAACAATGTGTACTCTGCATATTCACTGCACTCTTTGAATAGAATCATAAACAGAAATACATTTGTTAGTTTTAGGACCATATGAAATGTTAATAATAACAGTAACAATAAAATTTTAAACTCTTCATAGTTGGAATACAGTCAAGATAAAATGTAATCTTCCTTCTTTTTTTAAGTTTCTTTCCTCTATTAATTTGTATCTGTTACTTCAGAAATATACAAAAATTAAAATTGGTGACACCTAATACTTATAACAATGTATGATAAGAATGATGTTGGGTATGCATGATGCAAAGGACAAAACTAAAAGTTGTAGTTTCGAAGAAACATTATTGCCATCAAATTTCTATTTTTTTCATGTCACTTCAATAAGAATTTAACAAAATGAATGACCAATAATGAACAATATTTCTCAATTTGAGATGACATCATAAAACCCAGTCACAGACACCATGAACAACTCAATTTCAAGTTTACCGATTCAAATTTCTCCTGTAGTATGTGGAAACTAGGACCTAGTACCTGCGCTAGGCATGGGCAGATCAGACAATCGCCCAGGGCCCTGCAAGTCAAGGGGCCCAATGATGAGACTAAAGGCAAAACAATTAGTAAAAAAATGAAAAGGAAATTACAACTTAAGAAAATTGTTGTTGTAATTTTCTAAGTCACGATATTCTATATTCTGATAGTATTCTGATATTTCATAAAATTTTCAATTAATCTTTTCAATGCATTAGTAATCATTACTTAGAAGGTAGAACTCAATGAAATGAATCATTAAAATTAAAATAGTTAAAAATAGTTTTTCCCAAAATTCATATTTATTATTTCATGTAATAAGTATTTTTATTAAATACTAAACACAACAATTCTTTTTTTAGAATTTTAAGATTTCCATGGAAATTGTGTACTTGGTCACTAAATACTTTTACTTAAAACTATTATTTCAAACATATTTCCAAATACTTTTTCTAGTTTAAAACATATTTTTTTAATTTGATCAAATACAATAACCTATATAGTTTCTTGATACAACTTTCACATTTTTAATTTTTTCGGGAAGGAGGAGGGGGCTACATTTCAGCATTGGCCCGGACCCAAAATTATCTAGCTCTGGCACTGCTAATACCATACAGTTCAATAAGGCTAGAAAAGAAAAGTTCAAGACAATACAGTTTCAATTGTTTTTATTTATCTTCTTCGTTAATATTCTCACTTTCAGACTGAGTTTTATTGACAACTTTCCTGGGAATTATCTAACTTGTAAAATAACTATCGCTGACTGGTAGTTCACTCTTTCAGATAAAGTACACCTTCAATTTTCTCTTAAAATCATGAAATGTCTGTAATATGAAATAATTGTTCATAAGAAAATAAGTACCAAAACAAATATTTTATTTTCTATCGATATATGTTAATACAAATACTTATGAATTTTATTATAAGTACAGGTAGACTTATATACTCAACCTTTTTGGCTCATTAAAATTATCAATGCATCTCAACAAAAGCAAAATGAAATGAGATGCTCCTATTCAATGATTAATAATCTGCTGGGAAAGGTATCCATTACTTCTTAAAAAAAACTAATAATAAAAGAATACCTTGAAAAATTTTTTCATGAATGAAATTTCACACTACAATGAAGTTAAATCCACTTAACCACCAGTCTAATGGCAAAATCAATGCAAATATACAGAGCGATCTATACACGGCAAGTATTATGACATAAAAACAAAAGCTGAAAGCAAAGAGTAAAATTAACTGGACAACAATCAATTACCCAAGGAAATGCACTGACAGTAACATCGCTTACAATAGCAAAAAGAAAAAGTATAGCTTCCAGATAAACTATGATGCACATGTGATATAAAACAAGCCACAATTTTAAGAACTGAAACATGAAAGCTCACCAAAGAGGAAACACACAAGGATTTTTATGATCTATTTTCAATACATTTCAGAGTCATTCAGGCCAAGATGAGAGCAATCAGGAATCCATCTCTACTTACACTTCTACAGATGCTTTAACCAGCAAATAACATTCTTAAACTCAATGACACATAATGTGAATCACAATAGCTAAAAATAGGTGCAACACTGTCCTGCTTCATTACACCCTACAAATGTCTTGCAGATAACCCAGACAACATTACATGTTATAGTACTTGAAGCAAGTTATTTTGCTTTAAACTGAAATTGAAATGGCATGAGAGATTCTTAAATAAGTCATTTATTTGGAAATCATCAATGCTATTGATTGAAAATTAATAATTGATATCTGACAGTGAATTTTTGGATGCACTCATTTTCATACTTTTGTGTGTACATCCAGAACTTGTGTCAATTTGAATGTGAATAAAATACTTTTTTTTTATATCTCAACAGTCATTATCACAACATTCAACTTTCAAGAAAATTAAAAGTATAAAAAAAATATGCATTTAATGTGGCGAGGCTCAGACCACAAAATCTGTATTATGCCATGTTACTAAGAATTATATTCTAGGAAATATGAATATTTTCATACTTTGAATTTCATTACATCATACATTTTAAAATATAATAATTGAGGTAAAAATGCCTCTGATATTTTCACTAAACTAAAAATGTGAAACATGGGACTAATAAATACTATTTTTAATAAACCCTAATATTTGTTACAGAGGTTTACATGACTATTCATATCTCTTCAACAAAATAATTTCAATTTTTTATTTTTTTGAAAAAGACTAAACTCAAGTAATGTGCCAACAAATACTCTCATGTTTTCATTGTAGGAAAATATCTAGGATATTATTACAGGTAATCATGCAATAAGATCAACATATAATTACATTTACTATTATTATTATTATTATTATTTTGAATTCATCTCATCTACAGTGATAGGTGTACCATTTCCATGACAATCCTACATTTCATGCTAATAGGAAGAAAGTGAGGTGATATTATTGAGATATTAAATGATGCCACGTGATTACAGAAGCATACCTTACTAATTAAAAATAAGAACTTCAGTTATTCAAGTAATACAGTAGTTCACAATTAGAAGAGAATCAACAAAATGTAAATAAAGGAAAGATAAAATCTGGGAATTACGATTAAAGTGTTGAAAAGTCATTTAAATTTCTTTCAATTAGAATAATTGTAGGGGTATTATTAATCCTTTTAATGAAAAACTGAAATTAATTTTATATTAAAATTAAAAAACAAACCAGAAACATTAATTTGCAAGGTACATACTTATCTGAGTTATTTCCTAGTCTCTTATGCCTAGGGCAGAGGTTATGTCAAAGGACAGGATTTTTATTTGTCGGAGAACTGACCTGGTGATGAGTAGATATTGGTAGCTCGCCCATGGGAGGGAGAAGAAAAAGAAGCGTAAGTCCTTTCTGGGACATGGGGGCCCAAGTTTAAGGGCCCCTTCACCTGTTGGTACATTCTCACAGGTTTAGGGGGGGGTTGAACACCTTTAAAAAAGTAAAATTATAATGGAAGAATACTGTGTTATTTGTCTTGATGAAATAAAATGTAGTTATAAGAGCCAAGAATCAAAACTGTTTAAAACAAAAATTAACATGCAAACTTGGAAATATTTGTTTTCATTGTTTCAATCATTTTATTTAGTTAGAGGAGAAACTAAAACATGTTTTATTTTAGTAGTATTTCACTTAAAATGATCATTACTTTTGTTACAGATATTACAATTTCATTATGATTGATTTGAAAACTAGTTTTCTTCTGAACTGGCTATTAGAAAGCGTTTTGAAGGTACAAACATCACTCAGCAGTTCTGGCAACATAATGCAGGTGCATCTCTGAAGAAGAGGTTTCATGCTCAGAAGAGTTACAACAGAAAGTAATTATAAAGTAATCACTGAATGTTACTATTTCTAATTGACAGAAGACACAAACATAAAAAGCTACATGCAAAGAAGCAGTACTAGTTATTGATCATTACTGTATTGAGCACAAGACAGCCATACTTCACAACACAGAACATTTACAACTTTATTGAAATATACATAATAATATTACCTTTTCATTTATATAAAACCGTATATAATAAATGGATAGGAATCTTAGATAATTTTCTGCTCGTGCTTGAAGGTTCTGTAAAATTATCAGCTAGCATTGAACGAATACTTATAGTGAGAGATTTAATTTAGCTTATTGTTCAACAACCTCCCATATTTAAAAATCACATTCTAAAAGAGACATATTTTTCATTTACAATAAGAATTGGTTAGATTTCCCTCACAACTGAAGCATTATTGTTAATTTTAAATTAACACTGGTGTATTGAGTCATCTAACTTGGATGTATATTGTACTAATGTTCCTCATACATAATATCAAGACTTGTCATATTATGAAGTTTATTCATGCAACAATTAGACCCAAATCCTCAATGAAATGGTCACTGCTTGACATGGTGGTGGTGACTGTCAATAGACCTTGGATTTTGAAGCAAATGCTTTTTAACACTTTTGGCATTGACACTTGAAATGAATTATGAATACATCTGAGTTTATGGTAACAAGTACCCACATCCACTCTTTTACTCTTTTAAATGTTTATTTTGATTATGTGATTAAGCGATGGGAAAACCAATTGACGACAAATGTTACTGGAAATATGCCCTTGAACACATTCCTTTTTGGCAATGATCAGGTCATTCTAGCTGACTTGGAAGAAAATTTGCACAGGGCAAATATTTAGTCTTTTTAACATTGCCAGAGAATAATAGTTTTCAAACATTCACGTCTAAAAATAGTCATGGGAATTAAAGGAATATTTCCTCCTCAAGAAAGGATGAAATTAATAAATTGAACAGTTTTCAAATTTTAATTACCTGGGATACAACATATCATATGATTGTTCTAAGAACCAAGAGCAAAAGCCTTTAGAGCAAGAGCAAGTTCCTTAGCTACTAGATACGATAAAGCAAACTCTGTAAGTAAGAAAAGAGGCCATTATTAAATTCTACAAGTCAATGTTAGTTCCATTTCTCTTATGAGGTGCAGAGACATGGATTAAAACAGTCCAAATGAAGACGGTGTATGCCATTTAACCCCAATGGAGTAAGAAGACTGAAGCAACACAACTGCAAATGCTGAGACCCTTGGCAGGGTACACTTTGCAAGGCCATAAGAGAACTGAATACTAAGAATATGGTTCATGTAGATTCCAATGGTAGGACCATCTACTGAGAACAGACAGTGCAGGTATCCTATTACAAAGTTTTAATTATAAACCTCAAGTCAGAAGAAATCGAAGACTGAAAAGCAATGACCAAATGAAATTTCTGGAGATGAAACAGTTCTAAAGGTCTAACTCATTCTGTCTATGAAGTTGATGATGCTGATGATGGTAACTCTTCTGTCAATAGTACTGAGAAAAAATAAGTTCACCACACACCATTCAAATTCTTATTTTATTTATTGATTGACTGATTATTCCATGTTTCCAGACACATCAACTGCTGTGTTCATTAGTTCTGTAAGTATAGTGCATCTTTTTATCATGAGAGATGTTGATATTCTGCTCCTTTTGGATGGTGAGATTCGGCACCAACCTACACTTCAACCGGTGGGGTTTTCTCAACCCAGGTATCTCCTACCAAAGGGGGGGGGTGTCCTGGATAGACATGTTCTTCTCCAGATAGTAGCTGAATGCAACCTAGCTGTTTAGTTAGTGTTGAAAATCCTTCCACCATCAGGACTTGAACCTAGAACTTCCTGGTCAGAGGCACTACAATCACTAACTTCCTACACTTCAATTACTTATGCATTTTTCAGTTGTCTTTCATTTAATATTATTACAACATAAGAAATATATGATATCTAAATAAATAAAACCAATGGTGACTGTGTAGTATATGCTGATGAAGCTGGTCCAACAATCTAAATGTGACTGATGAGGCACAGACACATACAAAAGCACTTGATGCCCTGAGCCACCGCAGCCAGTCCTATTTTGTTGTTCATGGTGAGGGATCAATACAAAACTCTAGAGTTGATTTTATGAACAATGCAAGACTTTGTATTGGTCAAAAAAATAATCTCATTAATGTAGAATAATTAATAAAAAACATTTACATCTAAAGCAAACAACATATGATTTGTCAGTAAAAAATTTCCAAGAAATAATTAAATTGAATCATTAACAGTATTTAGGTTCCTAATTCTTATATGTATATTAATTATTATGAAGCAGTGTGAAAATGAATTGTTATTTTTTGCAGTATACTAATTTATTGATGAAATATCAGTACCCATAAGAACATGAGATCCAAGAGTCAAAATAATTTTTTCTTCTTAAATTATTATAGATCAGCTGAAAGAGGTATCTTAAATATTATTTACTATGAATGCAATTATTTTGTTATTCATGGTTGATAATATCAACTCTTCAAAGTACTACTAACTACTTACAATAGTTTACTACTTCAAAGTACTAAACTTTTGTACAGTTCATTAGCTATACTGAAGAAACTGAAGCCTTGAGAAGATATATTGAGACACTGTCTTTAAGGGAATATTGGTCTGTTAAATAAATGCTGATAAAATAGATATTTCCAAACATAATATCATGATTTATAATTTCCCTTTGAAAATAAACATTTTAGCAACCATAATGTGACAATTATTGTTTTATAGTTTCCTTTCTGTTTTGAGATTCATGTTAAAAGTCTTGATTAATTTTGATCCAATCCACTTCAGAATGTTGAGTTCACACAATAAAATACTAAGATGACCATCTTCTGTCTCTTTGGTTAACTACTAGATACTAATGTGGTTCATGAAATAATTTAAAAGATTCTGGAATGATACCTAATTTGAATTCAAAAGAATTGTAATAGTAAGCATAAATATCAAATCTGGAAAGAACTTCCTGAAAGAAATATTACAAAATAACGAACTTCCTACATTTCAATTACTCATGCATTCTTCAGTTAAATCTTTCTATTAATATTATTATAACATAAGAAATAGATGATATCTAAATAACAATTACCAACAATGACTGTGTAGCTGGTGAACCTGGTCCAAAAATCTAAATGTGACTCAAACAAAAAAAAATTTTTACATAGGAACAAAATAATAAAAACATTGTATTATATCTTGCTTGAGTAGTGAGAACTAATTACACTGCAAAAGAACACAAATGATATAAATTAAAGTTAATATGAACATGATGCCACACACTGTTAAAAGCAATGCAGTAAGTATTTAGTTGTTTTCTCAAAAACCAAAGAAATACAAGGTACAATCTAAGAACGAACTCTATCAATTTATACCATACATAAATCACGTTAATTTCATTATCTCACACGAAAAATGTAGAAAGCAGAGATGTAAGGTTTTCTTGCATAGATACCTGACTGAGGAAGAGTTTTAATTCTGTCAGCAGGTACTGGAGGAACAACAGCTGGAGAGTATGCACGCAAGAGTGGCCCTCCTCGAGGCAGGGTGGCTGGGGCGCTCCCTTGCGAAGCCCCTCCAGGGGGATAGGAGTGTGTCATGTAGTATGGTTGCTGACCCATGCTTCCACCACCTCCCTTGCTGCTGGTCTGAAAGAGGAAATAAAGTTATCAATTAAAATATAAAAAAATGTGTTTTACAACTAAAAATACATTTGTTGAACTTGTGAACCACTGTGCTACAAACAGAAAGAAAAAAACGCGCACACACACACACGGGCACGCCCACACCCACGCGCACTTTCACGCACGCACACACACACACTACTTGCTATTGTACATTCTCATAACAAATAAGACTCTAAATTTGCTTAATTCAACAATCACAGAAGTAGATTTCACACAGAATATGATATATAAATTACTCTTACTTAATAATGCTATTGCAAAATATTATTATTAAATAACTATATCTATTTGTATCAACTTTTCAGAATTAATGTTTGATTTTAAATTTATCAAAACATAAAGGAGTCCATGTCACGAGTCAGTTTTCCTATGTGAAAATTTGCTCTAATTGCCTCTCTGTTTGGTATACATTACTGTATTTAGTTTTGTGGAAAACAGTTAATTACTTGGGGCCCTGCTCCTCCTGTCTAGTTTCTCATGGCAATGACCTTGTATTTCCCTCTCAATATACAGATGTGAGAATTCGATGATTGCCTCTATGATTACATTTCTGAAGGACTATCTAATGTAGAGACAATGGTACAGCGAGTGCAAATGAGATAAGGATGGTACCTGCAAAAGCACTAGTAAGACCCAGCTAGCCTGTTAATATTTTGCACTGTAGTGTGGATTCGCCATTTGTGGAGAGCATCCAATATATCTTCTCATTGTTTCTGAATTGCAAGAAAGCAAATACAGGGGTGGGATTGGGAGGAGGAATGATAGGCAATTGTTCCCTTTGCAGATAATAGGGAATCACAAATATATTAATGTAAAACTTAAAAATGTTTTATTATTTTATCATTAATTAGTTTTTTCAAATATGAAATATTTCAAAACATGTACTCTGACAAAAAACGAATTTGTCCCCCAAATAGTAGATCTAAAATCCTGCCACTGACAAATATATCTACTCACACAGAATTCTGCCAAATGAAATGTGGCTCTCACGAAAGTGACCAGATCACCTTTACACAATTAACCTTAAGCATCTATTAGATCTCTTGGTGACATTTTCAAAATTTTCTTACAAATGGCTTTAAATTTTTTCTTTAATTTTCTTGTAAGAATAGACTAAAATTCACTTATATAGATGTCATAGGTCACTGTTAACTCTGAATTTTTGAAAATTGCAAATGTGTGAAACTTTTAGGAGTTTTCCTACAACTACAATAGTAAAGATAGAGATTTTTCCTTTAATTGAAATTCTTTCTTCATAATCAGTTCTTTCATTAAGGTCATGTACACTTTTTTAAATATTTTAATATTTTTTCATGCAATATTAAAATATATCAAAACAAAAATCTTCCTTTCCAAAACAACTTCACATTTGTCTTTAACCTTTTGGTAGGGATAGTACATAATATACTGTAACAGATGACATTAATGGAATTTTGCTCTATTTTGTGTTTCCCAAAATTTCACAATTATATTTTTTGGACAATTTGACAGTTTGATTTTTTCTCTCTCACGTAGATAGAATTTACATTAAAATATTTTTTTTACATTATTTAAATTTCTTAAAAAAAAAAAACAAGTGCTTCAAATGATGTGTTATAAAGTTCTAGAAAACTTAAACTGTGACAATGAGCTCAAAATTCTATATCTTCAGAAACATTCAAACGCCATTTTCTTGAAAACAGATCCAATTATTTTTTTCATATTTTTTGCTCAAAGCATTGTGTAAGATGACATAAGACATTTTGCGATATTCTTTTGTGTGATTGTGTTTTTAGTATTGCTCTCTCTTTCTCTTTATTTTTTATTTTTTTTATTTTTTAATAGCTCAGCGATTTGAGTACATTATTGTATTAGTGTGTGGAAGTGCTTGAAATGACTTCCAATTAAGTTTCTCGAAAACCCGAAAGTGTTCTGTGAAAAAAATTTTCAAATTTCGCATTAACAGCAACGCTTAGAAAACATTTTTAAACGCTGTGCCCGAAACGCGGTTTCTCGTGTGTGAAGCTGCTAATTTTTTCACAGTGTGCGAAACATCGCGAAGTGTGTGCGAAACATCTGTAACTATTCGCAATTGTCTTCCGTCTTGACGACATCTTTGTTTATTATTTACAAACATTAGTGTTATGATTCTGACTGGAATCCATTTACTTTTGTACAAGGAAGGTAAAATAAATGTTATATTCCTTCACTTGACGCATTGCATTTCGCGCAGGGCGAGTTAAAAAAAACAACAAAAAAACACGGGCGTGAGGAGCTTCCCGCACTCTTCTTCTTGTCGTCCTCGAGAAATCTGATTATCGCGGGAGGTGATAGAGGGAGTAATTAACGTAACAGGAACTGATCAGAGCAGCTGGCTGCTAGAATTCTCCTCCAGACAGCGGCTGAACTGTACCTAGCTATTTAGCTCGTTATGAAAATCCCGCCCCCGTCAAAACTCGAACCCTTAAGACCTCCCGGCTGAGAACCGTGCATTTTCGAATGGCGGAGAATTCCACAGTTGCCCTTCATGCTTGCGGCATGTACGAGAATCGGGGCCAGGGCCCGGCAAAATTGAATTCTTTAATTAAATCACAACGAGGTCTCATGCTGTGGCAGTTCGTAAACACTTATTTAATTGGGATAAACATCTCTGGGAGAAAGCGAGGGTCACAGCAGGCGCGTGAGGGGGACTCGAAAGCATCCCCTCGACCACCCGCACGGGGTCGGCTTCGAGAGAAGACGGGTGCGCAACGGCGCCTCAGAACTAACACAAGAAGATAAATGAATATTTTTCCGACACCGCTGTCGTGCGATCCGGTATTGAATATTTGCTCTTTACGTGTTCTCAACATGTTTTGTTTGTTCGTATGTGTTTTTTTTAATTCATTGCTGTGTTAAAAGAGAATATTTTATTTGTTGTCTTTGAGCTGTATGCGTGCTGCTTTTTGGAAAATCTTTTTGTGTGGTTTTGTTCAGCAGCATTTTTACTCCTGCAGGCCGAGTATTAGGTCAAGCGCACCCTCGGGCACTAGTGACAACCGCAGCCCGGCCACCCGTCACCACGGGCTTCGAGCGCCGTTTCCACACTTTTTAAATCAGAGCCCTGCGCGCTCGACCACTGCTGTCGCCGCATCCAGCCACAAGCCGCGAGCGTCTGGCGGTCGTTACTTGTGGCTCGCCACTCGTGGCCCGAGCTTCAGTGGTCCGATTCCATTACCCGCTCAATGGACGTGAGAGTCCCGGAGTCAATCGATACCGTCATAGGCCATGTCTCTCTAAATATTTTGAATGGGACCCCGATCCTTATGCAGTACACTTCCTTAAATATATTCAATCTAATTTTTCCCTTTTTATACATGGTATTTTGAAATTTTTATACGGCATTTGGGGACGAGGCTCTCCGAGCCATCTGACAATCGTGTAAATAATCTTACATAAAATGAATTGAATTTATTAACTGAATAATTAAAGATATAATTACGTAGTCATTGTATGCATTATTCATTTACTAGTAAAATATGTCAAATTTAAGTAAAAGAAGTTCAATGTGTTTCGTAGAAGAGGCCCTGAAATGTTATTGCGCCCTTTTGGTTTCGGCTGCTCACGCCTGAAAAATATTGTCATCGCCGATATTACCGATAATTATTAAGTCGATTTTTTTACCAATTTTACGACGATTGATTTGTTGCTATCGACACTTTCGACATCTTAGAACTAATATCATCAATGCACGAGCAATTTGAGGCTTCACATTTTCATTAAAATGACCTACTCACATGTGAAGTTTCTCGGCAGATCAATCACAGAGAAAAGGTGGTGCTGGCTTGTGGCCGGGATTAGCCGCAGTGGCGCCCACACGTGGGCGCTGATGCCGGCGATGAGCCTTCACGATGCTGTTACGAATAATACGAGACAGTGTGTGATGTTTTAGCATCTCTAACTTTATTTGTAATTCGCTAGACTGGAGATAATCAGCCAGAGACCAGCAATCCCGGATAATTACAAAGTAAATGAGTGCATTAGGGACATTTTGCAGGCCATGATTTATCGTAGCCTCCCACGCGAAAACGCCCACGCCTTACTCGGGATTCTCCTTCAACCTTCCCCAACGCAAAGATAACCTGCAAATCGAACTCACAATCATTAGTAATAATGGACTAAATGTAGATTAATTTCTGATGTGCCATACGATTTACCTGCTCCTTCCGAAGCATTCATGCATTCCTTTCGGTGCGATTCGAACCCACTGCTTCCGTGGAGGAGCTTCGCAGGGCGGCTCTCTTATCTGCCGAAAGGTCAGGGTTGACGGCGCGCGACGCGGACGCGAAGCGCGTCGCGACAGCGCGCTCGGCCCGCGTGGAGGCTGTGGGGTGACCCGCCCCGCCCCGCCCCGCCCCGGAGGAGGCCGATCGTTACCCTCGCCGCTGCACGAGGGCAGCGCGCGCGCGGCGTCCCCGCTTCCTGGGGGGGGCCGTGACATTCTCCCTCTCGCCTTCATTCGACAACGCATCCTTCAAATTATTCGACACATCGGGGCAAGGTAACCATTATATTATTTTTCCCACTCTCCTTAATTCGACATTGGATAATGCAAATTATTGGATAGCTCAAAGATAATTTTGTTTCCTTTGAAATTCGACGCAGATACATTTGTATGAGACTTTGTTTAATGATTCCTGTTAAATTTGGATATGTTCATTTCAAATGTGAAAACGCTTTTGTTACCCATGCTCCAGTTTTCTCGCAATTTCATCTTTTAAATTCCAACCGCTAGCAGTGAATTTCTTACGAAACGACGCGCAAGCAGCGAGCAACCAGACTGAAGCTGAGCACTGAGGCGAAGGAATTTGTGTGCAGTACTTTGCAAATTAATGAAGTTTAATTGAAGACGTAAATTTTATGTATTTATAGTGAGATTATGTCCTCAGTTTGTCTTGCACCCTTGTTATTAAGAAGGATAGTTTTTCTTTCATATGTATATT